TCCTCATAAACTCAATTCTCTCTCCCACTCCCAGTGGAACAGAGGAGGGGAAGGACAGTTGGTCTTCAAGGTATGTTCTTTGAGTTTCTAACTAAGAAAGGGAACTGAAAATAGGCCTGGAAAGGGCAGGAGCCTGTCTGTCCACACACACACACACACACACAGACACACACACCAGACCAGGCCCAGCAGAGGCCCCCTGGGACAGGGACCAGACCTCCGAAGGGAGGCAGGTCCTTCAGATTTGAGAACAACTGCCCAAGGAGAAACAAACCTAGCATTTAGACCAGGGCTTTGGAGGGGGTCTCTCAGTGGTATAGCTCTATCCTCCGCAAACACTGAGGAGAACAGAAAATGTTGGCAGTACCCACACCAGGAAAAAACCACGGAAGATAGATTATGTAGTGAGCTACAGGCCTCTTCCCAGAAATCGCATCCAAGTTAGTAATCATTGTGGCTGTTTGGTTTTTTAGGAGGAAGGGTTAATAGAGAGGTAGATAAGCTGCCATCTGTCACAAGTGATTTTTTTCAGGCAGGAGCAAAGGTTAATTGGAGGTGATAGTTCCTGTTGGCCAGACTTCTTTCTTCGCACCCCTCCACCCACAGAAAAGCTACTGGGGCAACCCAACTAGCTTAAGAGCTGCACCATCGGGGCAGCCCCAGTGGCGCAGCGGTTTGGTGCCACCTGCAGCCCAGGGTGTGATCCTGGAGACCTGGGATAGAGTCCTGCATTGGACTCCCTGCATGGAGCCTGCTTCTGCCTCAATCTCTCTCTGTGTTGTGTCTCTCATGAATAAATAAATAAAATATTTTTTGAAAATCTAAAAAAAAAAAAAAGAGCTGCACCATCTTGGGATGCCTGGGTGGCTCAGTGGTTGGGCGCCTGCCTTTGGCCCAGTATGTGATCCTGGAAACCCAGGATCAAGTCCCGCATCAGGTTCCCTGCATGGAACCTGCTTCTTCCTCTGCCTGTGTCTCTGCCTCTCTCTATCTCTCTCTGTGTGTATCTCATGAATAAATAAATAAAATCTTAAAAAAAAAGTGTAAAATACACGTTGGATTTTGAACGTATAGTTTAAAAAAAGTAAAATATCTTATTCATCTTTATATTGATGATGTTGAATATTTTGGATATATCATATAAACACGTTGAGTAATATTTGGGATATATCAGTTAAATAAAATCTATCAGTAAAAGTAATTTCACTTCTTTTTTATTGTGGCTACTAGAAATTTAAATTATATCTATGGCTTGCCTTATATTAAACACTGCTGGTCTGGACTGGCAAATCTATACACACACACACATGCATAAATATGTAAAATTTCTCCACCTTCCCATCCCTGTGCATAAAATAAGTAATGTCCTTCTTCTGCTAGTCTGTGGTCTTACACTTTGAGAATCAACCAAGCCTTTCTTGACTGAGCACTTCCCATGACACAAATACCACAATGTGTAAATAAGAGAGGCTACTTCTAACTTACTTTTGTTTTCTTACAGCACCTCAGTCCTCACTATTCCACATGGTGTTGGCCTGTCTTACCCGCTATCTGAGGTAGAAGCCACTTAAGGAAAAGAAGACCATAGAGTAGATTCTTTATGTAGTCTCATGGTTTCTGCTGCATGTGGCTTCACTATGCTTTCAGTTGATGAGGCCAGCAAGTGTTTGGGTACTAGCCACTCTGCCCACATAAACCACCACTACATTTTGCCTTTCTGAAAAAGATCCCAATTATTCATTTTCTAAGAATCTAAATTAGGAGTAGAGCTCTGCCTTCATAAAGTCAATCTTTTTATGTAGGGCAGCTTAGCATTGAGTGCAGAAGAGTAAGAAAGAAGGTGAGCTTGGGGATGGCAGAAAGAGAAAGGACCTTGGGAGAACTAGGGCTTGGAATCCTCATTTCCTCCTGGAGAGCATCCCCCAGAATGGGCCTCTGAGTTGTCAGGTTCCCCTAACCCCACCTCGGAGGAGTTACAGCACAGGACAGAGATGTGCCCCCAGTCCCCAGCAAGGATGGCCTGCCACAAGCTCCCACTCTTCCCTTAGCCCTGCCTCTCCTTTCAGATGGAAGCCTCCATCTGGGGACCACAAAGTAAGCAAAGGGTTGGAAGCATGTTGCTGCCTGCAGCTGTCTCCCCACCCCACCCCCATTGCTGATTGGGAGGAAGAACGAGGAGACTTCATTATAATTCATTTTTGTAAATGTTTAATATTTCAATTAATGTGATTAGCCTCAAGCCTGAATGAGCAGCAGGGCAGCAGATCTGCTGACAAGACACAGAGTAACAAGATCAACAGGGCTGTGGGGTCTTCCTGGACTCCATCCTCAGAGGGTGCGATCTGTTTAGCATCTCCATAAATACTAAGATCAGATTAGGAGGGAAGAAAAGGAGCAGTGAGGGTGGAGTAGGGAGTAGAAAGTTACTTTCCAGATGTGTTTGCACTCCTGGTCCCTTGGCACTGCCATCACATGTTCTGACCACCCAGTACTGGGTCCTCTACCATCTCCCACCCCACCCCCATCTTAGTGGCCCAACTGGGGGGACCTGGGCATCCATATCTGAAGTGTAATTGTATTTACACACACACACACTCAAACCCAGACTAAGGAAGGATGGAAGGTGGTTCAACAGAGAAACAAGCAATTGAAAGGCCATCTCTCACACAGGGCTCAAATGAAGACACAAGAGGAAGAAAGCCAGGCTTAACAACTCCTCCCATTCCCACAGGGAGCATTTGGTGTGGGGGTTAAAGTCAGGACTCAGGAACCAGCCTGCCAGGGACCCCAGTCTCACAGGACCCCAGCCTCATGGAGACCTCTTTCTAGCTGTGTGGCATTAGGCAAGCCATTTTATCTCTTGGTGCCCTGGTTCCCTTGTCTTTATTTGGAGGTAATGGTAGAACCTACATCATAGGGTGGTGCTGAGGGTTAAACAAATTAGTAAATATAAACCACTTGGAACAATGTGCCTGGGACACCCTAAGTGTCATCTAAGGGCTATTACTATTACTTTTCTTCCTGAAGAGAAGCTTGCCTGCTGTGATAGCTGAGGAATGGCGGCTGCTGGGATCCAGTTGGGATGCATTTCAGAGACACCAGTGGAGGGATCCCTGGGTGGCGCAGCGGTTTGGCGCCTGCCTTTGGCCCAGGGCGCGATCCTGGAGACCCGGGATCGAATCCCACATCGGGCTCCCGGTGCATGGAGCCTGCTTCTCCCTCTGCCTGTGTCTCTGCCTCTCTCTCTCTCTCTGTGACTATCATAAATAAATAAAAATAAAAAAATAAACTGTAATTAATTTAAAAATAAATAAATAAATAAATAAAATTATAAAAAAAAGAGAGACACCAGTGGCACTGTGGAGACATCAGCCCCACTCTGGGGTGAAGAAGGAATCACGAGAGACAGGGCATCCCACAAGGACTGTCCTGTTCAGGAAAGTTGATGGCAGCAGGTACTCCCTGCCTGGAAGGGTACTGTGAGTGGGTCCAGTGCCTGGAGGAATTAAGCTCCCTTGGGATTATGGGGGAAACAGATTTTCCAGAAAAGGAATAGTTGTTTAGGATAATAATGGCCCCCAAATGTGCTCCCCCCACCGCTTTTGGCTACCTGACTCACTTTGAGAGTCCCACTCAAGGAACCTAACTGGGGGGGGGGAGAGAAATTGGGTTTCCTCTGCCCTAAACAGGAGCTTGCCAACTGTGGTTCCTTCCCCTAAAGGAATCAGGAATCTGCTCTTATCAAAGGTTCTTTGCATCAACTGTTTACTCAAGAAATAATTGTTGAGCAGCTACGTATGAGCAAGACACTGCGCTAGACCCCAAACAGTGAAATGTTGAATTAACCAGTGCCCTGGGCTTCAAGGAGCTTAGAAGTGCGAGCTCTGGAAGTCGTCACCGCCACCGCCTCCCTGCCCACGCACTTAAACACACAAACCACCCAGAGGGAGAGAAGGGGGCGTTGGCAAATGCCAGCAAGACATAGATTTACTTGGATCCTTTTCTGGAAAATACACAGTTCTCTTTCTGTGCTCATTTCACCCGCTCTCTCCTTCCCCGCCCCCCTCTCCACCTCTCCTCTCCGGGTCCTCTTCTGCCCTTTCCCCCAGGCTCTGAGACCTGATTCCCGCCCCATCTACATCTCCCTCCTCTCCCCACCCCCAACCTGCCCAACCGTTTCTATGCTATTTTCTTGTCCCTGGATTCTTTCCCTGGCTCCCCACACTCAGTCTCCCCAGATGCCGGCTCCCCTCTCCTCCCCCTGCTCCCCTCTCCTGGGTCTTCGCTTCCAGCACCGGGGACAGCTCCAGCCCCCGGAACAATGGACCCCACCTTAGGGCTCCTCTATAAATTCTCCATCTTAGTGTTTTGCCCAACTCGTGATTGGGGAGTAAGATGGGGGAAGGGTTATTATCAACAGGACCAGCTGCTCTTCTGGGGGCGGGGGCGGGGGCGGGGGCGGGAAAGGAGTCGGAGAGGAAGGAGATAGAGGGCGTGGCTCTCGTCTGGATTGTGCGTCCCTCTCCAGGGTAGAGAATTTGTATTCCACCCCTGAGACTGACATCACTGATGTCAGGGGAAAGGAGGTGGGAGTGGGGAGGGGGGTGTGGAGGGGGGAGGTTTTTGTTGAGGAGAGCGCGGCCGGAGAGCAGAGCTCCGGGACCCAGGTGACCGGGAAAGCAGGCAGCCCCAGCAGCGGGAGCAGCCAGCAGCAGCACAGGCCCGGGGACCAGGGTGGGGTGGGAGGGGGGCTGAGGGGAGGACCCGAAGGGGGGCGGCAGGGCGAAAGGGAACCCCAGAGCCCTGCCGCCATCAGAGAACAAGCATCTGGCATCAGGGATCTTCGGACCCAGCAGAAGGATCGGCCACAGGGGAGGTGTCTTCCCGGGAAAGCCGACGAGAGCTCCACCTGCCCCACATCAGGAGTGCCCCCCCCCACGCTGCTGGCCACCCCCAGCCCCCTTCTCCATCACCCTCCTCAGGCCCTTTGCCCGACTCCAGCTGTTCACCCCAGCTCCCAGCGTCCCTGATACCCCTCTCACCCCCCAGATCTTGAGCACACTGACCCCCATCCTGGGATATTTGCCAGATCTCGGGGAGGAAGATCATTTGTTTGGGCTATGCCCCCTGGTGGCATGACAGTGTCTGCCTAGACCCCTGACCCCTAGCCCTCAACTCCTGGGCCTCCTTTGTGTGAAGCGCTGCCCCTCTGCTCAGCACTGTGGTTGGGGCCAAAGGGAAAGCCAGCCCCGGCTGGGCTCCGGCCCCCGCCACTTGCCTCCTCGCTGGGCAGCTCCCCCAGGCCTTTGGGCCCCTCCTCCTGGGCCGCCCCAATGAAGGAGCCGGATGCCATCAAGCTGTTTGTGGGGCAGATCCCGAGGCATCTGGAGGAAAAGGACCTGAAGCCCATCTTCGAACAGTTTGGTCGGATCTTCGAGCTGACTGTCATCAAGGACAAGTACACCGGGCTGCACAAGGGTGAGGGGTCAGGCCAGGCTGCGGAGGCAGCAGGGCTGGGAGAGGAGACTGGGAGGAAGGGAAGCCAGCTTGCAGGGCTGGAGCGGCTGGGAAAGGCTGATGTGGATGGGAAGAGTTCAGGGATAAGGAGTGGATGGAGGAGCCATAAGAGAGCAGCAGGGTGAGCAAGCGGGGCCTCTGATGCAGGCCTCAGGGGGGGTCTCCTGGGGGATACAGAGATGTGAGATCCCAGGGATGAGGGGGTGATGTTGTGGGTGAACTCAAAGGAGGATGGGGGACCAAGAGAGATCTGGCTTGGGAGATAAGGAGCCAGGCAGGTGTGTGTGTGTGTGTGTGTGTGTGTGTGCATGTGCGGGCACGCACATGTGTGTGTGCACACACGCCTGAGATTATTAGTAGCCTTAGATACTATTGGGGTGGGGGTCAACCTGGCAAGAATGGACATGGACTTTGCAGGGAAGCTCCAGGGTGTGGATCTGGAAGTGTGGGGCAGGAAGTTCAGAAAGCCAGCCAGAGGCACTCCTTGGGCCTGTCCAGGGCTGTGTGCTCCTGCTAAGCCAGGTCAGGCCCTGGTCAGGACTTGGAGAGCTGGGGGGAGGGGCTGGGGGGCACTGCCTCTCCCTCCACTGGCCTGGGAACATGCAGGGAACTGCTCTTCCCTTTCCTTCCCCTCTCTCCCGTGCTTCACCCTGTACCTGCCTCCTGAGGAGTTGGAGAGAGATGAAGAAATAGGGAAAATGGGAGAGGAGAGGGGTGACAGGGAGCAAGATGGAGGGAGGTGGAGGCAAAGGCGAGACGGAAGAGGCCAGCTAAGGAGGAAAGAAGTCACAGGGCACACATGCTTGTCTGGCAACCACAGGCCCCTTCTGCCCCCACACGAAGCCCCCTCTCCCAATGCCACCACCACACAAACCTCCCAGCTCTGGGTCTCTGCCCTGAGCTCAGCAACCCAGAGACTCCCTCTCAGACACCTCCCAACTCCAGCAGGCAGAAGGTGGCAAGAAGAGACAATCCGTCCTCAGTCTCATGGTGGAGGGAACCTTCTAGAGAGGGGACACTGGGGACTCATCCCAACCCCATCTCCTCTGCCCCTGCTCCTCCTCAGGATGTGCCTTCCTGACATACTGTGCCCGCGATTCAGCCCTGAAGGCCCAGAGTGCCCTGCACGAACAGAAGACGCTTCCAGGGGTGAGTCCTATACTTATAGGGCAAGAGGGTTGAGAAGGGCCCTGGAAGGGGTCAGGGGCTCACCACCTTCCTGAGACATGGAGCTTGTTTCCTACCTCCTCTCATCACCAGGAAGCCCCCTCTCCTTCTAACATTCCTCTTTCTTGCTGGAGATCCATTCATGTCTTTTACCTGGAGAGAAGAAAGACAGTGGTTAGCAGAACAAATGTGACCTTTGTAAGGAGCAGATGCAGCCCCTTCCCCACTTCCCAACCTGCTCAACACTTAGGGAACGGAGCTGGTTGGGAGGCGTGGGGACAGACTCTGAACACCAAGTGTGTGGCAAAGTAAGCAGGAGGCACCCAAGCACTCTTGAAGGTGGGATGTCTGGTTGTGACGGGGGGCGGGGGGGCTGGTGCCTGCTGGACTAGCATCTCTGTGCTGGCTGCTGGGCTCTGATGGACTCACCTGGTGCCTCCCAGGGAGAGCTTTGGGCATCAGGGTGGAGCAGGGCCTGGGCCGGCCTGGGCTGGAGGTGCGAGCAAGGGCATGGGTGGACATCATTGCGGAGGATCAGGCCTGACCCGCAAAGGTGTCCAAGGTGGCAGAGGTGCCCTCTGACATGGCCTCTCTCCTGTAGAGTCTAAGCTCTGTTGCTTTTCTTCTGGGACAGCCTTGCTGATTGCCCCAGGCCTGGGCTGACAGAGAGAGAGAATCTCGAGATGCCTCCAGCCATGCAGCCAGGGGGGGAAGGCTGTCCTGTTCTATTCCACTGTCTACCTGCTTCTGTTGTCTCCTGCCCCTGAGGCCCAGGAAGTAGTCCTGAGAGCTAACCCCATCCGTCCCTTCAGCAAACATTTCCTGAGCCCAGCCTGGGTGCTGGAGACACATGTGTCACAACCTCTACCCCTTCCCCTGTGTGGGAAATGAGAAAAAGGGCTGATTCTCCATTCTTTCCTGGGAGGGAAATAGACCAAACAGATGGGCAACAAGGGTGGGGGCATCCAGGAAAATCGAGACCATTTCAGCTGTTCCCAACTTCAAGCCTTTGGTAGGTCTGTGACACCCACCCTGTGGCCCTCAACCCTCTCAGCTCATCCTGTCCTAGCCATGGCAGGGTAGCTGAAGGGTCCTTGCCTGCGGAACCGAGGACCCTCGGTGTGTGTGAGTAGGCTCAGGATCTGGGGAGCCTGCGTGTGCGCGTGCGTGTGCACGTGGCCCGGGTGTGTGGGTGTGGGCACACGCAACCCTGGGAAGCCTGGTTTCGATCACGTCACATCTCAACTTTCCTTGCTTTCCTGTTCTCTGTGGAAACCCTGACAAATCGGTAGTTTTCATCTCCATGGCCTCATCCCGGCTTTTCCTGGTCTTGCTAGCAGGGGTGCCACCTTGGCCTCCCCCCAGCAGTACCCGTGCTTGGGCAGGGCTCTGGTTGTGGTCGGCAGCGGCAGGCCTGGCGATGTGGAAAGGCTCTGCCTCCCGTTCCTGAAAAAAAAAAAAAAAAAAAAAAAAAAAAAAAAAAATATATATATATATATATATATATATATATATATATATATAGGCCCAGGGAGAAGGATGCCTGGTTAATGATCAGCCAGTGAGCTCCCAGGTGACACCGAGGCCTGGGGGCAGGATCCAGAGTGGTCTGACAGGGCCTCCAGCAGGGGATGGAGCTCCTCTCCTCCAGGAGCCTAGGGGAGCAGACCGGCCGTCTTGGGGAGCAGATGTCAGCGCCCACTCTCCCTGACCCTGTGTATGCCCCAGGTCTTTTCTCTGCCACCTGCCCTCCTGGCAGCGTTATTTCCTTAATTGTTCAGTGTGTGTGTGTGTTGGGAAGTTCTTCCTGCTGTCTAATCTCCAAACCCTCCTAATATAGTATAGTCCTTTTTTTTTTTTTTAGATTTTAAGTCATCTCTACACCCAACATGGGGCTCAAACTCATGACCCCAAGCTCAAGAATCACCCACCCCACTGACTGCGCCAAGCAGCTGCCCTAATACAGGCTTTTTTTTTTAGTGGAGGCATTTAGCCCTCTCTCCTTTCTCCCCGTCTCTGTCACCAGTGCCACCATATCAGGATGATGCTTCCACAGCAGAAAGGAAGAATGGAGGCTGGGCCTGTGGCTGTCAAGCCCCATTTCCTTTTCTCCCTGGAGCATTCCCAGGAGGGGCTGTGCCACAGGCCCCTGGATTCTTCCTGTCCCAAGGGTGTGGCCTCCTTGAGGTGGTGGTGGGAGGGACCTCTGCCCAGCCTGCCCGATGTGCTCTTCTTGGGCCAAAATCCCACTCTGGGGAATGGGCTGCATCAGCTTACTGTTGGTCAGTGAATTCTGACCCCGTGGAAAGGACTCTGTGTGTGTCTGGGACACTGGGCGGAAGGAAGCCTGAAGCCAGGGAGGCAGAGCAGCAGACCTGTGACCTCAGGAGAGTTAGATTTTTTTGGAAATGTGAGCTCTTCCTTACAGGAAGAGCAGTGGGGTCTTTGCTATTGGTGAGAAGGATGAGGGCCTTATGAATGACCAGGCTGGTGGCGGGGAGCGGTCTCAGTGATACGTGGAATATAAATAGCCTCTTCTTTGGGAGGCCCTGGGGAGGGCTTATCACCTGGCTGGTGGTGGCTAGGGAGCAGAGGTGCCCGACTCCATGTTGCCAGGTAAACAGGGCCCAGCTGGACTCAGGGGAGGGGGCAGGTGTGCGGAGCTGAGCTAACAAAGACCCAGCTCCCCACAGGAAGTGCCAGGCCAAGGAGGAGAGCCTGGGCCTGGGTCACTAGGGGCCACTGAGGGAGGCTGGCTGTGAGGGAGTGAGGGGAGCCTTCTGTCACTGTGGTCTGCACTGCGGCCTATGCGCTTGTGTGTGTCTTTGTGCAAATTCCCATCAGCTGTGGATATTTATTGAGGTGCTATTTTTGTGCCTGGGAGCCCGCCATGCAGCAAGGGAATGGCATTGTTTCTCTTTGGACCTCAGGGTCCCCACCCGGACTAGAATAGCAAATACCTAGGGGCATCTGGGGAAGGGTTTAGGGTCAAGTAAGGAATTCCCTGAGGCTGTGGACAGACCCTAATTCAGTCTACCTCTGCTGTAGGGGTTATGGCTGGTGCTGAGTGCCCAGGGGCACTTCCTGATTGCTTTAGGGAGAATACAGAGAGGAGGAGGGTTCAAGACTGAGGGCCCTGGGCTTCACACACACACACACACACACACACACACACACACACACACACAGGCTCCTGAGAAGATTGAACCTCCATGGGATAATCCCAGATTGCTGGAGGATAAAGCTGGGGGCGGATTGGTTGGAGGATTTGGGTGACTCTTCCCCACCTCCCCCAGCCAGCTGCTCTCAGATCCCTAAGTGGGGGTGGGGCAGGACAGGAGTGTCCGCGGAGGTGGGGTTTAGGTTGGATCCAGGGCTGGGAATACCTCACCACAGAGTCCAGTCAGTCACACTGACTGGAATGGCCCATACCAGAGAAAAGGGTTGGTGTGAGAAGGGGCAGGGGGCATTTCTCTGTGTGAAGCGGACACACAAGACCCACAGCTGGAACTCTAGAACTGAAGGAAACCTGACTCGCCACCTCCTGATTTGCCCCATGGTTGTTGTTGGTTTTTTGTTTTTGTTTTTTTTTTTAGATTTTATTTATTTATTCATGAGAGACAGAGAGGCAGAGGGAGAAAGAAGCAGGCTACATGCAGGGAGCCCGATGTGGGACTCGATCCTAGGACTCCAGGATCATGCCCTGAGCCGAAGGCAGGCGCTAAATCGCTGAGCCACCAAGGGATCCCACCCCCACGGTTTTACAGATGAGAAAATTGAGGCCCCAGGAGAGAAGTGACTTGGCCAAGGTCACCTAGCTAGGGAGTGGCAGAGCCAGTTCTTGAAGCAGGGTCTCCTGACCTGCAACCCAGTGCTTTTCCTGAGGATGCCTGTAGCCCCCCATCAGAATGTAGATAAGTGGTTGCTTTTGTTTAATATCTATTTTTGGTCACTGGAGCTCAGACTGCCCCACCGTCAAATGAAAGGGTGGGGTGACCATGTGCGGCCCCCATGGTCCTAGTCCTCAAAAGCCAAGTATTTTCAGACGTGAAATGCTGAGTCGTTCCCCTCCCTCCAGTTCCGAAGATGTCCCCTGCCCTAGTTAAGGAAATCAACCTGCTGGATCATTGCTGAGCCCTCTCACCAGACAAGAACGGAGAGTGGAACTGGGGGGTGTCTGCATTTCCACTGGAGACTGAACAAAGGGAGATGCTGCAGGAGCAAAGAGAAGGGAGAGCTCTGGAGAACTTGAGGGTACAGGGAGAATGTCAAAGGAGCATGGGACAGCAGCTCCTCCTTCAGAGCCCTCTCAGCTGCCAGACTCCAAGGATTTGATCTGGAGCAGGAAGGCAGGGAGGGGACAGTGTGGCCCTGCAGAACCTGCGCAACACGAATCAGGAAGCTTGTCCTGAGCCCCTCCCCCACTTCCCAGTCCTACCGAATCCACCCCCAGCATACCCTGTTCCCACCACCCCCCCACTCCTTCTCCTGGTGTGTGGAGCAACAGAAGTGATGACGTCACCACGGTCGCCAGGGCGACGGGAGGGATAAATCAGGCTGAGTGGGCGGTTGCCATGGCGCGCATTCTCCCGTTGCCACGGAGACTGGGCATCTGCTCCCTTTGTGCTGCCCGAGTGCCTTCCCCCTGGGGTCACGGGGTATAGGGGGGCAGATAGAGAAGCAGACACACCTCTGGGGGTCAGAAGGAAGTCGGGGCATCTGTGTGTGCCCCTGGGTTGAGAGTCTTCTTTGGGGCTCCTTCATGGAGTGGCCTCTGCTGCCCCTACTTTGTAAAATTGAGGCAGTTCTTGCTGAATAGCCCCTCAGTTGGGCTCTGCCTCAGGACCCATGTCCTATAGGAAGTTCCGTTCTCCCCCTAAAGAGAACATCACTTACCCCTGGCCAAGTCACCTGGGGCCTCACAGCCTGCAGCTGGCCCCAGGAGCATCCTCCCTACATCCTCACCTTCCAATGCCTCTAATCCCCTCAGGTCCTAATCCTAAACAAGATGAAACCCCGATCCCTTCCTTCCCATCAGCAATTTAGGGCCTGGGGTTCACTCTCTCTAGCCCCTCTGCAGCTCCGGGCCTAGGGAGGGCTCTTCGGGGGGGTTTCAGGGGAGATCCCCAGCAGTGCCTTCTCTTCTTTCCTTTTAGATGAACAGGCCGATCCAGGTCAAGCCAGCCGACAGCGAGAGCCGAGGAGGTAGGTTCTGTACCTTTGGACTTTGAACCCAGGCCCAGGGCTGGAGCAGTGAGGGGCAGCCTCTCTTGAAAAAGAAAATCTGAGAGTTCCAAAGGGTTCCCAGTCAAGGTGGGGATTGAAGTCAGTGTGGTCAGAGGGGATGTCATCCAGCCCATTGCAGGGAAGCTGGAGTGAAGTGCAAGTCCCTCAGAACTGGGCTGAGGACTCTGTAACTGTACCCCATTTCCCCCAACATCACAGATTTTACACACTGGAAGCATGAGTACCGGGGGAGGGGAATGCCTGGAGCTCCAGGGAGTTGCTGAGGGTAAAGGGCAGGATTTCAGCCTGTCCCAGGGGGAATGGAGTTGGGAAAGCAGCCAGGGGACCCTGAATGTCCCCCTCATCCTGTGCCCTGCCCCCCAGAAGACCGGAAGCTCTTTGTGGGGATGCTAGGGAAGCAGCAGACAGATGAGGACGTCAGGAAGATGTTCGAGCCTTTTGGGACCATAGACGAGTGCACTGTGCTCCGGGGGCCAGATGGCACCAGCAAAGGTACCTGGCTGCTGCCCCTTCCTCAACAGGCCTTCTGGCCCTCCTGCCCCTTCTCCACTGGCTTATGGGCAACAGGACGTGGGGGCCCTTGACGGGGAGCACTCACCCTTTCCTTCTTGCTCTTGGATGCTCTAGGTTGCGCCTTTGTGAAGTTCCAGACCCATGCTGAGGCCCAGGCGGCCATCAACACCCTTCACAGCAGCCGGACCCTGCCGGTGAGCCCCACTCACATCCATGTTTTAGATGCCCGCTCCCCACCTCTGACCCCTACCTCACCCATCCCCTCCAGCCCACATACCCTGCACTCCTCTCTGGCCACTCCATTTCCTGTCTCTTCTCTCATCTTCCCACCCCACCCTCCCTGGCTGGGCATCTGAACACTTATGCTCTCTGCACATTAGCAGACTGCACTGTGGAAGGGCTTTCCCGCAGAATAAATTTCTCCTACAGAGCTAGCTGACTCTGAAGCTCCCTCAGCAGATGCCCAGCAAGCATTTAGCAGGAACTTGGGCAAAGGGATGCAACACTGAATAGAGAGCTGCGTTCTAGACTCTAGGATTCTTTTTTTTTTTTAGACTCTAGGATTCTACAACAATCCCTGTGCTTCGGTTTGGTTTTTATTTAGTGCAGGGTGGTATTGCAATTTAAGGCTTCTCCTCTGAGCACACTGTGAGGTTTGGGGTGTGGGGATAGAAGTCACGGTACAGGTCTAGGGCAGCTCCCTGGCAGACCAGCCTGAGATGAAACGTTTGCTGTGTCTTGATCCTCTTTGGAAGTAACTTCCAGCTCAGAATCCTCACAGAGAAACCAGGGATGCCCTCTGGATTCCAGTAGGCCTTTCCCTTTTCAAGCACACGCCTTCAAGCTTCTCAACTTTTTCTAGTCTCTCACACATCCTAGCACAGGAGGAGGTTGGGATTAAAATCCTCCCGGTGACAGAGGTGCAATGTGGCTGTCTTCCCGAAGAAGCTGGGCCAGGAGGGGTAGAACTGAGGCCAGGCCCTGAGGGCTGTTGGGAGGAGAGATCCTGATCCTGTCACTCTGATCACATGCATGGCCCATGCCCAGGGTGCCTCATCCAGCCTGGTGGTGAAGTTTGCTGACACGGAGAAGGAGCGAGGTCTCCGCCGAATGCAGCAGGTGGCTACCCAGCTGGGCATGTTCAGCCCCATCGCACTGCAGTTTGGAGCCTACAGCGCCTACACCCAGGCCGTGAGCACTGACCCCTGGGGTGCTGGGCCTGGCCCATCCCCGTTTCCTCCTGGCATCCAGGACCAGTCCCCACTTTCCCAAGGCCAACACCCAGAGTTGGGAGGGGAACCAGATTGGGTGTCGGATACCTGGCCCCACCCTCCTCTCCTCCCCTTCCCCCAGTTGATGCAGCAGCAGGCGGCCCTGGTAGCGGCTCACAGTGCCTACCTCAGCCCCATGGCCACCATGGCTGCCGTGCAGATGCAGCACATGGCTGCCATCAATGCCAATGGCCTCATCGCCACTCCCATCACCCCATCCTCAGGTAAGGCCCAGGCAAGGCAGGCTGGGTTGGGTGTGAACAGGACAGGTGAGATGAACTACCACATGGTGTGTGTGTGTGTGTGTGTGTGTGTGTGTGTGTGTGTGTGTGTGGGCACATTGCTCAGGGAAGCCACAGGGTCTGGAAGGGACTCGGGTGAGGGTGGCCTGCTTCCTCCCTTCTGCCCTCAGACTTGCTGACTGGTCCTCTGCATTTGTGTGTGTGTGTGTGTGTGTGTGTGTGTGCATGTCTGCCTGCTTCTTTGCTCTGTCTTTGTCGCCTTCTCCTCCCTAGGAACCAGCACCCCTCCTGCCATCGCTGCCACGCCCGTGTCTGCAATCCCTGCTGCCCTGGGCGTCAACGGCTACAGCCCCGTGCCTACCCAGCCCACCGGGCAGCCTGCCCCTGATGCTCTGTATCCCAACGGGGTTCACCCCTACCCAGGTGGGGGTCTCTGCCTGCCCCCCCTCATCCAGCAACTATCCCAGCCTCCGCTCCCATTGCCGGTGGGCAGCCGTGACACAGCCTCCCTCTCCAGGCCTCGGGGTCATCAGGTCTTTCTCCTGCCCTGCCATCCTAGGGCAGGGATGCTCCTGCCCACCATCAGCCAGGGAAGCTGAGGCTGAGTGAAGTCCGCAGTTGCATAGCCAATCACACACTCCACGCTCTGCCTTCTCCTCCCTGTGGCTCTGTGCATTTGCATGCTCTTCTGTCACCCCCGGGCCCTGGGAGGCAGTACCCCCCCTCTCCGCCTGGCCTTTGCTCTGCATCCTGCCCCCCCTCACAGTCAGTGCTGCTCTCCCCAGCCCAGAGCCCCGCGGCCCCCGTGGACCCCCTGCAGCAGGCCTACGCAGGGATGCAGCACTACACAGGTGAGGAGCCCAAGCCCTGATGGGAGGGACTGTGTGGGACAGGCTGGCTTTCCAGGCTCCCTGCCAGCTGCCCCTGGCACCAGCTACCCCCTGGGGCTTCCTTCCTGGTCCTATGGGGCCTACTCTTAGGGGCCATGTGCCCAGAGTCCAAGCGGCTCCTTCTGTGGCACCTCTCTGCCCATCCCCCTTGCTGGCCTTGGCTGGATGTTGTGGGACTGGTCAGGGGTTCCTGGGGGCCAGGTTAGGAATCTCGAGACCCGAGATTAGTTCTCTAATTCTCTGTTCTCTGTTCTCCCACCCCAGCAGCCTACCCAGCAGCCTACAGCTTGGTGGCACCCGCGTTCCCGCAGCCTCCTGCCCTGGTCGCCCAGCAACCCCCTCCTCCTCCCCAGCAGCAGCAGCAGCAGCAGCAGCAGCAGCAACGGGAAGGTGTGACCTGAGCGCTCCTCCCAGAGTGCTCCTCCTGGCCGGGAGCCCCCAGGGATAGGAGTGCCCTTGTCATGGGCTGTGGGCTCCCTGTCGCTCACTCCACACCTGGAAAGAAAGCGAGTGGGCATGAGGTGTCTGGTGCCCCAGCCTGCATGCCATGGGCTGGGTTTGGAGGGTTCTCCCGGCCCGTTCCCTGTGGGGCCCAGGCCCCAGGAGTGTTGCCCAATCACTGAGCTCTTCCTCTGTCTCTGCTGCCACCCAGGCCCTGATGGCTGCAACATCTTCATCTACCACCTGCCCCAGGAGTTCACAGACTCAGAGATCCTCCAGATGTTTGTCCCCTTCGGCCACGTCATCTCAGCCAAAGTCTTTGTTGACCGGGCCACCAATCAGAGCAAGTGTTTTGGTAAGAACATGATCCAAAAGATAAACTATGGCACATTTTTGCCAAACTCCAAATGTGGACAAGATCCGAGACATCTGAAGGTGTTTTTGGTCACAGTGGGCCCAAACTTTGAAATCCAGATGATCAAGAGTGGGAAAGAACCTTTCTTACCCCTCTTGGCATCACATACTGCTGCTGCCCAGGCCCAGCTTCTCCCAAAATTGCAGCCTCAGTCTTCTCTATGAGCACTGGTCAAATTCATGCTCCATGAGGCCTGGGAGAAGCTCAGGAATGAGAGGTCTGGCTTCCGAGAGGAAGGTCTAGGGAGCATAGTATTTTGCTTTGTCTTGAAAGGTTGCTTCAGGGGAGAGAAGCCTTGGTCCTCCCTGTGTGGGAAGTCGTGAAGGGCCACAAGGGGTGTTTTCAAAAGGCAGGTTCACAGTTCTCTGGGCTGAGAAGGGCTCCTCAAAGAGTGCCCGAAAGAATGTCCCAGTGCATGTGAGTGGCTGCACTCAACCTACCCATCAGCAGCTACCCATCAAATGCCTGCTGTGTGCCAGCCATTCAAGATCCTGAGAGGAAGTCGGGCAGTGCCGGGGAACCAAAAAGCAGGTTCTGGCCCTAAGCACAGGCGAGTCAGGTGGGGTTGGGCTGGGCCTTATGCCCCTTTCATCTCAGGCTTTGTGAGTTTCGACAATCCGGCCAGTGCCCAGGCTGCCATCCAGGCCATGAACGGTTTCCAGATTGGCATGAAGCGCCTCAAAGTCCAGCTAAAGCGGCCTAAGGATGCCAACCGGCCCTACTGAGGGCCCCCCAGGTGGGTCCTGTTCCCGTCTTGTGACCTCTTCATCTCCCTCACACTGAAGCCAGGGCTCTCACTTGGACTGTCCCTTACCCCACGTCCCCCCAGCATCAGGGATGCCCACCCCACCCCTGACTCTGGGCACTTGAAGGGATCTGGTATAGCTCCTTCTGCTCTTTCAGTCACCCACGTCAGTCTCTCTCTCACACACACATGTACATGTTTCAGTCACCCGAGTCAGTCTCTCTCTCACACACACGTGTGCACACTCACACACACACACAGTGACCCCAGAGAGAGCCGAGTCTGTCTATATCTGTGTCCACTCCCCAGGTCTTCTTCAGTATCTGGTCTTGTTTGTCTGGTCAGTGTCCATGTGTTTGTGTGTCTCTCTCTTTCTGGTTTTCCTTTGGGTTGGAGTGGAATTACGGGAGTAGAGTTGGGGAAGTAAGGAGGCTGGTTTCTAGAATCATAGCTCCTGGACTGTCTATCCTCCTGAGAGGTGGGGACATCGGGCCCTCAGTGTCCTGGACTCCGGGGAGCATAGCCCGTGGACTCTTCTGTGTGTAGACCCACGGGACAGTGGAGAGTGCACAGGATAGACTGGGGAAGTCCAAGCTTCAGGCCTCCTGGGAGCAGCTTCCAGTTAGGTGGAGAAGGCCAAAATGCTAGACGGCCTGCATTTCACTAACTGGGTCCCCTCTACCCATTACCCACACGACCCTGGCCTCATGGCCACAGAGCTGTGAGCTTTGGTGACTTTTGTGTTTGTTTGATCTCCTTTGGACCAAACCCCTGAAAAAACACAACCCAAGAACAATACCCACATTTTGTTTCTCCCCCTTTCCCCCCAATCCTGGCTGCTTAATCCCCCCCACCCTGGGGGCCCCCCTGCCCAGGGCCCGTGTCTATTGTCGGCCGAAGCCCCCACCCCGGACCCCCGCTCCGGGCCCCTGTAAGTCGCATGGAACGAGCGTGTTGTCTTTGCAGCCGATTGTTCGTTACTTGGGGAGGGGGCCGCGGAGGGAAGCGCCCCTCAGCCCAGGGTCAGGGCCGGGGGCAGCTCGCGGGATGTGCTTGGTCAACAGTGGTTGGTGACTGTGCTCTGTGTTCTGTGCGTTTCTCTCTTGCTTTCTTTGTTCCTTTCCGAAAAGGAATGAGAGCACGGTCTAGGGGCTGGGGATTCCGGCCCTCAAGTCTGCGGCCCCAAGCCCAGCCCCAGGTCCCAGCCTGGCTGCCCTGCTCTTCCTCCAGGTGTCCGTCTGTCTGCTGCCCCTTCTTTCTCTTTGCTCTCTCTGCCTGCCTGCCTGTTGTCTCACTCCTTTGCTTCGTCCCCTCCAGTCCCTGTCACCGTACCTTCCAGCTCTTCTCCTTCTCCTGGGCTGTGTGAATATCTCCTCTGGATATCCTTGGGTTTCTCATATGGTGGGCCGCTCCCTCCCGTCCCCGCCAGCCACCACTGCCCCCGTCCAGCAGCTGAGGCCTTTCTGCCCCCGCCCTGCCTTCTCTGGGCGGTCCCCTTCCCTCCTGGGCTGCGTCCACCAGCCCAGCCACTCTTCCCCACCGGGGACTGTGGCCACAGCGTCACCCGTGTCTCCTTCCTTCACAGGTCTGGAGACACCAGAGGAAGGGGCACCAAACCCCTCGCCCCACGTGGTCCCAGCCCTTTCTGCACACCTGCTCGGGCCTCGATGGGGCTCTGGGGCAAAAGCTGCTTCACAGCCCTGGGGGAACAGGACCGTGGCCCACTCCTACCACCCCGCCCTCCTGAAGGGCCTGTTTGCTCCCAGGTGCCCTTTTGGCCTTTGTGAGGGAGCGTGGGACAGGCCCGAAGGCTCCGGGGTATCTGCCTTCTGCTGGGGCTCCTGCGGTGACCTCCTGTGCCCAGCTTTCACACTCACCTCCCCACCAGCGGGCTTGTGGCTCTGGAAGGGTAGAGGGGCCTCCCACAAACTCCCCACCTCACCCTCGCCCTAGCCTCTTCCCCATACTAGGGGTTTCTCAGAAGCTGGTTCTCAAACTCCCTACCACCCTCAGTTAGAGGTAGGATATCCCTGAACCCTGGGCTCCCAGCCCTAAAACTCACTGCCTCCCCCATGGGCCCCCTCTAAGGAGGGTGTGGGGGAGCCCTGAGGGCTGCCTTGCCACCAGTCAGCCACAGAGACCCTCCTCCTTTCATATGAGGAAAAGACCTCCCCAAACCCTTAAAAATGTTTACAGTCTCTGCTGGTCCCCTCCGTGTAAATACCACTACCACCCGTGCGTTATCCAGCCCGGCCCGGCCCGGACGCTGCCATCTCTCTTTCTGGGAGTTTAGACAATGTTTCCCTTGGATTTTTTCTCTTGATTTCTCCCTTTGCTTTGGGGGTAATTGGGTATTTGGGAGGATGGGTGTGGGGAGGGTTACAAGGGTTTATTACCTGATCATTTTCTTTAGGAAGAGGTTTTAGGGGACATAAATGGGTGGGGGGGTGGGAGTGGTAAGGGGAGACTGGGGAGTCTGTTTCAGACACTTCTCTATGCTTAACTTATTTATTTATTGCATTTTACTTTTAAAGAGTTGGTCTTTTCTGTCTAAATAAAGAAAAAAGTTTAAAAGCATCAAATGAGAGTCTTGGAGAGTTGAGGGTAGGGACTTTTGCGTGCTGGGGAGGGGAAAGATTTGGGAGAGAGACCTTAACCATGGCTCATGATGGCACTCCTTCACCCTTCCTTGGGGTTTAGTACCACATGCTCTGCAACACCAGGCACAGGGAAGGAAACAGGGCAGCAGGCCTCTCCCATATCTAGCCCTGCCCCTCTGAAGGCTTGGGACTGGACTCTCTTGTTCCTGATCTCCAGGTCTCCCTTGTTCATGGGGGTGAGCTGCCCCTGCACCTACCAGTGGGGATACAGGGAGCTAAGTTTTTGCTCTGTGATTCTGTTACAGGCTGTCAGTGTGCATTTCCTCATTTAACCTTGCCACAATGCTAGGATGCAGGATACAATTTTACAGACAGGTTAATAAGGTCTTTGGAGGGTAACCAACTTCCCCAGAGTCCTAGAACTACAAAGGCAGGAAGGAGGCCCAGTACATTAGACTCCAGAGCCCATGATGGTCTTGTCCAGCAGGTGTTGTCAACAACCTGTTTTTTTGACCCAAGGCAAAGATCCCAACAAGTATCAAGCAGGCTGTGGCAGTGAGTCCCACCAAGTGGAAAGTGGATTGCATAAACCCTGAGGTCCCTCCAGTTCAGTTCTTAATTTCTTCTCTGTAAACTACTCTGGGGTTAGGCTCAGAGGCTCACCGGGGGGTGGGGGGGGGTGGGCAGCACCTGGGCCATTTGCTTTTTGCAACAATCTGCTACCCCCACTCTTATTATGCCCCCCCCCCACCTGCTTACCTTCCAGCCTGGCCAGTCTTAGGCCAGAGCTGTTCCACCAGAGCACAAAGCTGTGTAAATCCTCACTGCTCACCCGCACCTCAGACCTGTACCTTGACCTCTTAAACTGCCCCAAACTGAGAGTAGTAAAAAGAGAAGCAACATGTGAAGTGCAGTAGAAACATATCTGTGGACATTGTTTCAGGAAAAAAAGTCTCTTAGATTGGCAGAGATTAGGGATGGGGCCTTACTCAGAAGGAAGAAAATCCAGCTAGGAGAATCTGAAATCTCAAATACAGGTGTGTGTGTGTGTGTGTGTGTGTGTGTGTGTGTGTGTGGTTACAAACAGGCAAAAATGTTTGCAAGGATAGCAGGAGTTGGTATCAACACTAGAATTTTCCCTTGAACTGTCTTGCCATGGCCTCACTGCAGTTTCTGGGTCAGGACAGAAAGATAGAAGGTGAGTATTAGACTGAAGAGCATCTCCCAGAGTGGCATACTGACTGATGGGTTCTCCAAGGATGTGGGAGTTGGGAGGCAAAAGGACTCAGAAGTCTCCTCCTGGCATCCTCCCTGCTCTCAGGCAGCTCTCCCCAAACACTGGAAACTACTTATTGTCTCACTGCTCACTGCTGCACCCCTCCCTGCAACACACTTTAGCCAGATTTTCTCCAGAGAAGCAGGAGAGAAAAGTGAAGTTGAATGATGAAGATGGAGACACAGAGGGGTTTTTTGGGGAAAAGAAAACATTTTGGGGGCAGGGATTCTCCAGGTCCTTTTTTAAAATTATTTTAATTCCAGTATATTAACAGTGTTATATAGTTTCTGGTGTAGTTCAATAATTCCATACGTCATCCAGTGCCCATCATCTCCAGATACTTTAATGGCAAAACGTAGGGCACCTGGAGACAGAAATGGAAACTTCGAACTTGTATTCTGAATAAACAAATTTCTCAGACATCATATTAGCTTCAAATAGAGTAGGAAGGGTATAAAGTAGGGTAGTTCTGTTAGCTCTCAAAGCTCACTACCATCTCTTCTGAGCAGTAATGAAATGGGGCAGCAGTAGAAATAAGAAATGAGGACAATAGGATCCCCTAAGTCAGACCCAGCAGCATGAAACTCAGCTATTTCTAAAATGCTCAATGGCAGCAAAAAAAAGAGAAGGGAAACGGAAAAGAATTTTGGGAGAAGCCTTCCAATTTATAGAAACGAAAAGAGACATTTAAAAAAATATCCTCCTGAGTCAGGGGGGCTCCAGGGATGAGAGTGTGGCCAGGAAAAGCCCTGGATAATTCCTCCAATACAGCCCCATGCCCTGGCCAGATTTTGAGAGCTGAGAAATGCACAAACGTCAGGCAAGGTGTTTCCATTTCCTCCGGCAGAGACCCTGCAGGACCAGCCCAACTTGGAGGATTTCCTTTGTCTTCTCACTCTCCTGCTAAAATGTCAAAGCCTTCACAGCCTTGGCTTCTAGTATTGCGACTGTAGGCGTTTCCACTTGTGGCCAAGACTCACTTTCTTCTCCAAGTCTGACAACTTGAGTCACCCTGAGCCAAGCATCTGGTCCTTTCAAGATTCCCATCCTCTGGGCCTTCTTCTTCCCTGAGTAATGAGGCAGGTTCCTCTTGCCCTCCATGGATAGGGTCTCCCTCCCAATACACTGTATCCTCTCATCCACTGATGAGGACTCCCACCAGTGCGTTTCTAACTGAACTTCTGTCCTGAACTCAGAGTAGTGCCTTTCTCCCTCAGTATTCCTCACAGGTATCCAGCACTACTGCTTACCCTCTCACACCTCCTAGCCAACCCAGCTGCAAAGCCCTATTTGTCCTCTCTCTCAAATATATTGTTGACCTTCGCACATCTGTCTCTCCATCTCCATGGCCACAGAGTCCAAAGTCACCCCAGAGCCCTGTGGTATCCTCATGTTTCTGTTGTTTCCCTCCTGCCCTCCTACAACCTGTTTTCTACATGGGAGTCTTCTATGGATCCGTTCACAGATGGATACTGAGTCCATCCTCCACCTTGTTTACAATTGTATCTGCATCACCCTCAACGGTGCCCAGAACATTAGAAGGCCCTCAGCAAATAACTGAGAAGTAACTTCTAGATAGATATATCTATATCTATATCTATATCTATATACTTATATATCTGTATTTCTATATCTATATAGATTTCTCACCCATGCCTAAATCATAATAGGTCCAAAGCTAAAATATTTTCTCCCTATTTCCAACTCTTAAATACTTCTATTTTTTAGCCATCTAGACATGAAACCTTGGGAGTGTTTTGCTCCTGACACATTCATTCAATGTTATTAAATCACAAAAGATTTTACTTCCACAATTTTTTTCTCACATCCAATGTCCCTCCTTTCAATTATTACTGCCTCCACTTATCAACTAATCATAGCAGTGTCCTAATTGATCCTTTGTATGTATTCTGAAGCACTAATGTTTCTAAAGTGCAGCTGATTAAAAAAAACAATGCTGTTTTTAAAAAATGTAGAACACTTCACTCTAGCATTCAAGGCTCTTCAAAGCCTCATCTTCCATCTTATTATTCCTACACATCCCTTAGGTCTAATCAAATAGGACTATTCATTGTTCATCTGGACATGTTTGATCCTTCCCCTCCCCACCACGGCTCTTCATTCCCAATTACAAGTGTTAGGCACCTAACAGCTCAACAAAGTTTGCAGAAAACCTTTTTGTTGGAATTCTGCTTAAATGCCACCTTCTTCATGAAGATTTCCTTAGTTTCTTTCATCCATAGGTCTTTTTTTCCCTCTCTTTTTCCTAGTCTTATGGCACTTCAACCTTCCACTGCTGCGTATTGTGTCATTCCATAAATCTCTCATTTCTCTGCTGGGCTGAAAGCTGGAACAATGGCTCTTACTTCGCCTTTGTATCTGCTGTGCTACGGAACATGAGGCCCTACGCGTGGCAGATAGCCAATAAGTAAATGTCTGTTGACTTAAACTTCTGTAATCCAACTCTGGGATTCCACTTTCTATTTCTCTACAGATTCTTTCCTTGTTAAAGAGAAAAAATTATTTCATCATTATCAGATTCCAATTATTTAATGCTGATGGCTGAGTAAATAAGACCCAGAACAAATTTCTCTCCCTAAACTGCCAAAAGAAATGTCAAACTAGTTCTTGCTTTTACAGTCTTCAATCAAGGAGCAAAAACGTATGGTCAGGGGTTATAAAAATAAAAAACGTTTACAAAAATAACAAAAATATCTGACCTTACACAACTGCTAAGCTTTCCGGAGCAGATTCAGCCCATGAGCTAATGTATAGAGAGGAGCAGGACCTCTTTGGAGTAGGTCATTAGGCCACAGCACCTGAGATTTCTCTGTAAAATAAAAGTACATTCAGGACTACCTTCATTCTCAGGGTGTGGGCAGAGGAAGGACTATGAACCACCCAGAATACCTGTTATAATGCCAGCACTCACAAGGTTCAGATTCGGGAGAACAGCCTCCTGAGGTACTTGAATAATAGTATATATCATGTTGCTGGGGAAGGGGGTCAGTACTGTCCCAAAGACTGTAAGATCTGTCCCAAAGACTCTGCCAGGCTGAGGAAGAGGAGTCCTGTGAGTCTTACCATGGATTTAGAGGCTCTGGCACAATCAACTCTGACATCTGGAGGAGGAGAAGGCATTTTCAAAGGAGCCACAGGAAACTGAACTTTAGGCGAGGGACCTCCCAGGTTCTTCTTCTGCCCTCAAAAAACTGCCCCTCTAGCTACTTGGAGAACCAGTCAGGTGTTTCTTCCCATTTTCAGACTGACGTTTCTAACTCCAATCTCAAACTGTTTCCCATGCAACCCAAAGGATGTGTAGTCTAGGAAGGCATAGACTAGTTTCATCAATAAATCAATTTATTTAAAAGAATATGTTACAATTAATTACACTAAGTGACATTACCAAACAATTTTAGAGTGGTTAGCTCTAGAACAAGGAATGAAAGAAACACTGTTAGCCATTATGTGTCTGTGTATTTTCTCTTCACATTTCTTAAATCACAAATAAAAAATACAAGATACTGCAGTGAAAATACAATTAAGAGTTTCTCAAATAAATTAAAAGTATGCATGGCCTGGGGGAAACTGAAGCCCAGCTCACCGGCTTAAAAAGGGGGCATGATATAAAACTGGTGTCCAATTTAGCAGTTGGCCAAGTGCCTCGAGCCCACAGCACTCCCCTCTTTCTCCTGTCCTTTCCCATAACCCTAAGCATTCCCCACACTTGAGGTTATTGCTGAGGAGTGAGCTGCTGTCTTGGTAGAAGTGAGGCCTGGCATGACATGCTCAGGTTAGGGGAAAGGAAGGCAGGAGGTGGAACTGGAAGACAGGAGTTGAAGAAGCAAATCCACTGCCTCTCTCCTGAGTATCAACTGCATTGTCCTCCCTTCAAAAGGAAGCCAATGGGACACAATCAGCCTGGCAAGGAAACCTAGCAATGTACTGGGCTCCAACAGCCCAATTGGTCTCTATGCTGAACTGATCTAGCCAGAAAGCACAATGAAGATAAAAAGGGAGCACAGTAGTCCTTCTAGGTCTGAAGACTCCAGGTCAGCCAGGATGCAGTTCCCCTCAAGGAAATCTGCCTCCTAGGAGCCAGGCCATAGGTTGGCAACTTCTGAGAGAGAGGTGTCCCTCCTGTCAATGCCCTGTACTGCTGCTCTAAGCACTAGCTTTGGAGCTACAAGAGGGGATAACCTAGCTACCGGCCTGGGTGATGACAGAATGAAACTAGATGGGCCAGGCCTAAGAGCTGCCCTGAGCACACACCTGGGCTGAGCTTAGGCGAAGGGCTAGGGGAGGGCAAGGAAATGGAAGAGTAGAACAAAAATATAAAGAGCAGAGAGCCCAAAGAATGACCCAAGGGAACCTTTCTGCAGGGACAGGTTTCTCAGGGCCTGCATTTTCTCCTGATCTATACAAAACTCGGAGCTTTTACCAAAAAGGATAGAAACTGGGTGCAGAGGGGAAGGACAACAGATCAGGAAGGTCCTGCTGGCTCTGCAAGGGCAAAGCAGAGGGGCATGGAAGTCCCTCTATTCACCAGAGACAAACTGCAAAAGAAAACTGGGCAGATGGCTCCCTGGACAGAACCCAGGACAAAGAAAGATAGCAGGGATTAGGGAAAGAAATACAGAGCAAGGTGGGAAAGGAGTGTCACACTAACACTGCTTCATGCAAAAAAAGATGTTGACCCTATGGAGCCACAGTGACCTCTGTCCTGGTCCAGGAGGCCTGCTGAGGGTAGAAGAAGAGAAGGTGCTGTCCTAGAGGCTCCCTCCTTCCCCCTCCTTGCTGCAAATGGGTGCTTTGCTAGTGGTACAGCCACAGTAGGGGCTGTTCCTAAACAGATTCTGCCAACAAGCCAATACCTACAGGGCTCTCGCCCAGTCTCCAAAGCACCAAGTGAATGAATGCTCTGCCATGAAGGGACCAGAGCAGCATCCACCTACCCCAAGGGCATCCATCCTAACGGCATTCCCCCACATCTCACATCTCACAACAGGAGGTCAGTAACTGGGATACTGCATGGCCTCCAGATTTGTTTATTCTTTTCCTACTATGAGGGAATAGGGGCAAACTGCTGCTATGTTTACAGTCTAAACAAAACTGGTGCCAAAAGCTTTTAGCATCTTGGAGTGAGAATCAGCATATCTTCTTTCTAGGGCTCTTTGACTCATTATTAAATTTATTTAAGCCAAAAGAACTTAATCCTGTATCAAAACTTTCAAATCAAGGATCGTTCTCTGTAACTTTAAACATTCAGCATCCCTACGTTCTGCATTCTGTGATTCTACCTAGATTTGGAGAAGGAAAGGGAAGACAAGTGTCCTATACGATCCCACACTGTCCTGGGGCAAGCAGCTGCCAGGATAACAGAGTGAGAGAGAAATAAAAGTGGCCTCACAACAATCTGTAAAAACAAATTACCAAAAAAGAAACTTCAAACCACCCTACCACTGCTCAATGGAGTGGTTAAACCAAGCATGGTTGCCTCCCAGTTAGACAAAAGCTGCCACCCAACGAAGGTTTTTGTTTAGAAGGTATAGAAGAGAAAAGAAGGCTCACAGATGTGTTTCTGTTGCATCAGAGCCCAACTTCAGCTCACAATGCAGTATCTACAGAGCCTGGGGCTGAGAGTACTGCCCCGCCTGGTCAGCCCGGCCCTCGGGTCCTAAAATGCAACTCTCAGGTCTCAAAAGCTCAAACTGCAAGGTGAGATGAGGAGCTCTTTGAGGGACAAAAAGGCTTCCCTTCAGTTTCCTTTTCATTCAAAGCTGAGATCCAATTCACATCAACCATATTCCTACTGGTCCTTCCTGGGTCCTCAGCTGGCTTGGATGGGCACCGGTTTGGTTGGCACAGACTACTGACTCATTCCAAGTTTCCCCAAGGCCTTGAGGGATATTGTCAGATCCCTCTGCAACATGGTTGTTTAAGGAAATCACGGAGAATGTAATGGTTATGGGTGGTTATTGGTCAGGAATGGATAGGGAAGAGCTTAGGTACTTGGGGCATTTCTTCCTTCCTTTCCCCTACCCAAGTCCAATCTCTGTGCCTAAACTACCTAAGTCCAATCTTTGTGCCTAAAGGTATTGGCTTTAACTCTGGTCCCTAGTACTCAGCCTGCTTCAGAAATGGCAGGGAAATGGGAAATTACAACCACAAAATGTTTCAGCTTCCTGTGGCATCCACCTCCTGAGCTGGCCTTCCCTTCCATTCTAGGCCAGTGGAGGCCCAGAAGTGAGTGGGGCCCTCAGGAAGTGAGGAGATGTAGAATGTGGCTAGAAAGCCATGAGTGGAAGAGAGAGAGAGAGAGATGGACCAGGAAAGTTGTCTTGGAATCAAGGACCACACCAAGTCTTTAGACTCTCCCTGCAGATCTGTAAGCCTTGCTGCCCTTGAGAGACACTCCTCTTTCTCCTCCTCAGCAGCCTCTTGGAAGATAAAGAAACTAAACTATGCTCCTTGCTCCTCAGACTCTATGGCAACCCATGAGCCAGAATCTTCACTCAATACAAAAAAGGGGGGAAAAACCCAAGCAGGTTGTAAACTTTTTGAGTCCTTCATGAGGAGAGGTATTTTCCTGGTAAAATATTTTTTTTTCCTTTTTAAAGTTTGTTTCAAAATAAAGAGAGCAAGAGAGAAGTCATGAATTCTAGTGAAAGGTGTGTAAAAACACAAGCTAAAAAAGGTACTGCCATCAATATGAAATTTAAAAAGAAATATATATATGTATATACGTGCAGCTAATTTGTGTATATATAATTTTTACATACATACATATATATGTCTGAACAGTGCAAATGGATGGAGTTCATAGTTCCAGTTTTAAAAATATAGTACAAGGAGAGTCTGTTGGTATGAGGCCCAGGTGAAAGGACAAAGATACCTTTGGCGCGTTGTTGGGCTTATTTTCCTGTCTTAACTCAGCTGAGTCCTGGTGCTGACCAATTTGTTGTTCTCTACCAGCTCAAATTCCAGAGACATGACATTCAGAGGGATTATTAATAGTATTTAGTTTAGGGCTTTTGAACATAATGACTTTTTTCCTTTTTTCTCTTCTTTTATGTTAATGGTTACTCTGTCTGACATAGAAGACGAAAGGGGTGAGAGGATGAAGGTGAAGAGAAGGGGGGTGAGGAAAGGCTAGGTGGCCACATCTCTCTGCTGTGACCTCGCCATCTGGAAAATGTTCTGAAAGGAAAACAGAGAACAGTTACTGGGAAGCCTGAGATGTCTGCATCTCCTCCCACCTGGAGGCCAGCCTCAGACAGAAAGAGAAAAATGTATGGCTAGATTACTCAATCTGATTGGCCTCTCCTCTAAGTTCCCATCTACAAACACAGCCTTTTAGACCCAGAAAGGAGCTTAGATATTAGTTATCTGGATCAGGGGATCCCTGGGTGGCGCAGCGGTTTAGCGCCTGCCTTTGGCCCAGGGCGCGATCCTGGAGACCCGGGATAGATTCCCACGTCAGGCTCCCAGTGCATGGAGCCTGCTTCTCCCTCTGCCTGTGTCTCTGCCTCTCTCTCTCATTCAGTGTGACTATAATAAATAAATAAAAATTAAAAAAAATTATCTGGATCAGCTTTCCCATTTTATAGATGAGAAAAGACAAGAAAATAGATCTAGGGAGGCTCATTTGCCCCATGTTGCAGGGAAGAAAAAAGCTGGGAGAGAATCCTGATCTGATTCTCAGAGACCAGTGTGGTTCCTACTATACCAAAAAAATAAATTTTCATAATCCTGACCTTACCTTCTGAACTTCAGAAACACTGTCTTTGAGAATAAGTAGCAATTATTCAGAATCTTCCAAATTCTGCTCCACCACTGGCATATATGGGCAACAGTAAAACAGGAGCAGAAACTTTCCCACGCATATGCGTTCTTGATTAGCCCAGACAGGTTCTGTCATGACTCCGTTCTAGTCAGAACAGCTAACATTGAGGACAGCTGCCCTTTTGGGTCAGGAACAACAAAGCAGTGATTTGATTTAAAAAACAAAACAAAACAAAACACAAAAAAAACCCAGCAGAGGAGGGTCCATGAAATCACAGGAGATAGAACAGCCTGCAGCCAATGGCTACCCATTAGATGAGGGAAGAAGCAGGGCTTCTTTTGCACAGTCTATTCAGCATCCAAAGGCTAGAAGAATAATCTCTCTAGAAGAATAAACAGTCTCTAACTAATATTCCTAAAAAGACTGAGATGAGGTGAAGGTTCCAGGTATTTGGCCATAGGCCTATTATTTTAAACAAACAAAAAGATGAAAAGTCAATTCAAGATTGTTTACAATTACCTCTTTTCTCCACTTGAGTTCACAGAACACCCTCTCGAAGCATTCATGCATATAATTAAACTGAAAAACAAAAACAAAAACAGCATAGCAACACTGACTTCTCAAGACCAGGCACCACAGGGCCATGCCTTTGAACTCTTGCCCACAGTAACCCCACCTTCCAAACTTGCTCAGCCTAGAGAAAAACCCTGACAAGCACCACAAAAAAACCCCCCCAAAAACCAAAAACCAACCAACCAACCAACCAACCAAAGAAGCCTGGTTCATCTACTATTCTCTGGCTCCTTCTAGTGGTAGTTGTAAGTCAAATCGGTCCTCCAGGAAAGGCAGGAAGATACCTGGGGGTTCTAGGGTTCAAAACACAATTGCCATCTCTACAGCTCTCATTTATGCATTAGGCCTGAGAACTTCAAACCCAATCTACCTTCCCCAAGAGTATTTCCCTGTCTACCACTCACGTATGGTGTGAAGATTTTAACCCATCGAGGCTTCTTCTCTCCTCGTGCATATTCAAAGCAGAAGGCCATTCCTTCTTCATCTGTATCCCATCGCTGCATCTCATCCCATTCAAATGCTATTACCTGGTTCTAAACAAATGAAGAACAAGAGTGTAAGTCTGAGAATGCTGGGGAGCTTAGCTAGGATGGTTCTGAACCAGACAGCAGAAGAGAAATGAGTGACTTGTCTGCATCATTCCAAAGAAAAGACTTTGAAGAGTAAGAGTCATTGTGAGTAGCCAGAAAGATAAGAATTAGTGTGGATCCAGTATGGTTTTACCTACCCCATCAAAATAGCTTTGATTTAATCTCCCCTCGCAATAGGAACAAAAATCTCAGCAAGTAAGTGAGCAAGAGTGTCCCTAGTGCTCCCGGTCCCAGCCCCATGCTGAACTGTCACCTCCAGCTGTCCTTCTTCAGTGCAGGCATGAAGTTTAAAGTGCGTGATGCTGATGGCTGTGATGACGTGCCCCTTCCTCCTGGAGTCGCAGGCACAGTGGGGGAAGATGATTTCATTGTAGCCCTCACAAGTTCTTAGCATGTTGAGGTACTAAAAAAAAAAAAAAAAGGTGAAACAGGTTACTGTGGTATTAAACCAGCATTAAGGGCTGCTGGTATGGCAACAGAGAAAGAAAAAAGAGAATCCTCCCACCCAGTAACCTGAAGACCATGCTCTGGTCTCAGCCCTAAGAAGAACCAGGACTCTGAGCTGATCCTTTGTTCCACTTCCAGCTTCTATCTTCAGACTTCCAACCCCACCTCTTTTCTCTACCTCAAAAAGTACACAAAGGAAGCCAGAAGAGGTGCTCTGTCTAGAGGAACTCAAAAGGCCTTTAGGTCTGTCTCTTCAAACCAAACTGCATGATTAAGGAAAGGGAACTCATGTCTCCTCCCAAATCAAAAGTTACAAGGATCTCTGTGACAAGGCATGGGTTACCCCAAATCTCCTACTCATAACATGTTTAAGTTGAAAAAAACTGATGAAGTTAGACCCAGAGTCACAAGAGACTTGCTTAAGGTCACAGGTAATAATAAATGGTGCAATCAGGATTAGAAGCCGGGTTTAACTTCTAGGCCACTAAAAAAAAAAAAAAAAAAAAAAAAAAAGGAGAAAAGAAAATCTTGGTCCCCAAATCAGCACCACCATCCCATGGTCTCTAAATACATATGCCTCCTTAAAAAGCATGTGGACCAAACTGAGTGGCATATACAGCCCTCAGAGGTAAAATGCTACAAGACTGATTCAGAAAAGGCTCTAATTCAGCTCTTTGTCCTTTCCCCTCTACAGTGAAGACTGGCCTGTCTTTCACTCAACTTACTATTTTGAGTTAAGAGGAGAGAGTAAAAGATGAGTGGGAAGGAGAGCAGAAGAGAAATAGGGAAAAGATGATTTAAAAAAAAAAAAGACGCGTGGACTCTGACCCGGTTTCCTCTCAGGGACTGACTATGAAATAAGCAAAGAGCCTTGAGTCCCCACACCCCCAGCTGCCCAGCACACAGGATAACAGAGCACTAAGAAGACATGTGGGAAGTGCTGGAGAGAAGACAGAGGCACAGCACACTAGATGATTTGCACTAGATGGAAGGGAGACTGGAACACACCAGAGAGTCACCTGCCTAGGAGAGAAGAGACAAAGGGACTGAGGCACAAAAAGGACCCTGGGCAACTTGTAGCTCTGGTACCAATGAATGGTACCCAAGACCACTGCTACTGCCCTGGAGATTATCTGGACTTTTTTTTTTTTTTTTGAAGATTTTATTTATTCATGAGAGACACAGAGAGAGAGAGAGAGAGAGAGAGAGAGAGAGAGAGAGGCAGAGAGAGGCAGAGACATAGGCAGAGGGAGAAGCAGGCTCCATGCAGGGAGCCCAACCTGGTACTTGATCCTGGGTCTCCAGGATCAGGCCCCGGGCTGAAGGCGGCGCTAAACCACTGCGCCACCCAGGCTGCCCTATCTGGACTTTTAAAAAAAGATTTTATTTATTTACTCATGAGAGACACACACACACAGAGACAGAGACATAGGTAAAGGGAGAAATAGGTTCCATGTGAGGAGCCCGATGTGGAACTTGATCCCGGGACCCCGAGATCATGCCCTGAGCCAAACGCAGCCGCTCAACCACTGAGACACCCAGGTGTCCCTATCTGGAAAGACTTAAAGGCCCATTGGGGGGAAAAAAAATCACACATGCTCCCTTCCCTATTTTGTATTTATTTCTGTTTAAGTAAAATAAAATAATGGCATCTTTGAAGGGGAAAAATTATAAAATGATAGCAAGAACATAGCAACAGAGTCGATTCAAAAGTGCCACAATACCTGATTTGCATCATTTCTTTTCTCATTTCTCCTTCCATCACTCCAACTTCAACCTCATATCTCATCATCCTTCCTGTACTAGGGTTAAAAGTAGATACTGCTTGGCCCTGCCATTAGCATTATGAGCAAAAAGATATCTCTGGCCCCTAAATTTTGGTATATAGAACAGGCATGCCATGGAACTGAACTCTTCTGGGGTTATAAGCAGAAACAAAAGTTGAGATAGGTGGCAGGATAAAGAGTGGTCAAGGGCCTGGGCTCAGACTACCCTGGGCTTGAATCCTGGCTGCATCACTTCCTAACTATGTAACCTTGGGCAAGGTACTTGCGCTTCAGCAAATTACCAAATCCCAGGGGCCTTGGCTTCCTCTCCTGTGAAAAGGGAAATAATAAAACCTATATCACAGTTATTTGTGACCAGTATTTAGCATAGTACTTAGTACATAATTAGGTATTCAATAAATGATAGCTTTAAAAAATAATTTTAAAGGCTCCATTATCCTTAGCCAGAGGGCTCAACTATTTTCTCTCTCAGGAATGCCCTGTGAAGTGATGTGTATGGAAATTACTCTTCAAAACTCCAAGGGAAAAAAAAGCATGCGTGTGAGACAGATGAAACATGAATGGCAGAAAAGTGGAAGGTTGCTGAAACTAGGTAATGAGTACATAGTGGCTAAATGTACTATTATTCCAACTTCTTTACATATTTGAAATTTTCTACAATAAACTATTAAAGAGAAAAAGAAGAGTGTCCTGCAAGCAGCCCTCCAGTGCTCAATCCAAGGCATTCCCCTAATAGTCATGAGAAAGTTTTTGCATCCTCAGTAAGCAGCAAATACTGCTCAAAGGTGCTTAGGATCTCTGCAAATGCTGGGAGGTATCATCACATAGCCTTGGAATTGGTTCTGCTTGAGTCCTTTACCAAAACAACCTCACATATGACACATTTGCTGAGAGTTCTCCTCTCTGAAAGGCACCAATACTGTTTAAAAAATATTTCTGCCATATTCCTAATAGGGAGCTTTATTTTATTTCTCAAAACGAGAAACATGTAGACAAAGGGAGGGATTAGGAAACGACATCAGATGAGGCATGAAGCTATGCATACCCTGAACTCTATCTCTGTGACCTTGTGTAAGTTACTCTGCCTGGGGGCTTCCCCTCTGCCATCTGGAAATGAAGGACACTGCTGCCAACTTCGTTTCCCTGCTAGAGGGAAAAACATATGCCATGCATGGTTGTTCTAAGGAGGAAATGAGAATGTACATATTGTGCCTAGAACAGTATCAGGCACACAGTATGTGCCCCTCTCTCTTGCCTTTGAATCAAAATCCTGATTTATCCCTCTATATTCAAGAATGTAGTCCCTGAAAGCAAAGGACCTTCAAGGGACTTTCTAACGGTGTTAAGTTCAAAAAATAACCTGAGTGGAAACTAAGGTTTCCACTGTGGTGGAAAACAGGTTTCACCTGTGGCCTTGGTCAGATGACAGAGGTAAAGTCTCGTATGGGAAATGTAAGGTTTTCACATAGTATTTCTCAGCTTTCAGTAAATCTCTATATTCCTAGATACGCTCAAAGTATAAAGATATAAGCTGTCCTCTACATTTGGAAAACAGGGAACTTAGAGAATGTTTCAGAATTTTGAAGTATTTTGTCAAGAGTCTACTTGATATATTGCTGGCAATCTGAACATTCCCATTTTATAGAAAAAAAAACTTAAAACTGAGAAGTGGACTGAATTGAAGGTCTCAGGTGATTAGTTGATTGGTGATTTGGCAACTTATAGTAGTGATTTGGCCTGATATTAGGCCTATCAACCATATTAAGTTGCCACAGATAATAGTATCAAGATGCATGGGCTCAGAAGGGTCCATTTCTATGGGAAGTTTCAATGTACTGAACATGACCACTGCGTAGGCTAACGTCTTTGAACACTAATACTTGAATACATGAGATTATACTTGAATGAAATTCAAGCTTTTCAAACTTTGGTAGGATTTTATTTAAAACCTAATTGCAATATTATAGGGCTAGTACACACTTGTCACTAGGTTTTCAAGACAACAGAATTCCATAAATGTTTAAGCATATCTTATACTCAATTCCAATGATCTAAGGGAGATACATCAATTGTACACAAGTTTTGGGTTTTTTTTTTTAATTCATTTTTTTATTTTTGAGAGAGAGAGGAAGCGCACATGCATGAGCTTGGTGAAGGAAGGGGCAGAGGGAGAGGGAGTGAGAGCTTAAGCAGAGGCACCCATTCAGAGCTCATGACCTTTAGATACGGACTCTGAGACCACGACCTGAGCTGAAACCAAGAGCTGGATGCTCAACCAACTGTACCACCCAAGCGCTCTTGTACTTAAGTTCTCAGTTGAGTGATTACAGGATATAAATTTGAGATTAAAAGTAATTTTCTAGTAGATTACCATACTTGTTAAATTCAGATCTTCTATATTTTGCCATAGAACAACCCAAACCTATTTATATTTTTTAAACATTTTCCACTGTGCCTAGCACACACTTAATATTCAACAAATATTTGTTGTTGAATGCATATATGAAAGATAGTGTGTCTAGAGTACCACATGTGCAAAAAAACAATTTATATTCCATACTGCTGTTATCAAATGCCCTTATGAAATATTTGTTGCCTTTGGCAAAGGCAAAGTATTTCAGAGGCTGATGGTCCTTTAGCATTTGGTCCTTTTCACCAAAAAGATGCAGATGTGCTGGTCAGAGTCATGTGTTAATATACAGAAGACAATGCCATGATCTTTTTTTTTTTAATTTTTTTTTAATTTTTATTTATTTATGATAGTCACAGAGAGAGAGAGAGAGAGAGGCAGAGACACAGGCAGAAGGAGAAGCAGGCTCCATGCACCGGGAGCCCGATGTGGGATTCGATCCCGGGTCTCCAGGATCGCGCCCTGGGCCAAAGGCAGGCGCCAAACTGCTGCGCCACCCAGGGATCCCACAATGCCATGATCTTAAAGAACAGGTGGAAATCAATTTTTTTTAAATAAAGATTTTATTTATTTGAAAGATGGGGGTGTAGTTCAGAGGGAGAGGGAAAAGCAGACTCCCCCCTAAGTATGGGACCTGACACAGGGGCTCAACCCCAGGATCCTGAGATTATGACCTGAGTGGAAATCAGATGCTCAACTGACTGAGCCATCCCAAAATGGGTTTTAAAATCCTATTTCTCACATAGTAAAATTCTCTTTACCAAAATTCTGCCAAGAATTAATTCTGTTTAAAAGATTTTTGGGGATCCCTGGGTGGCGCAGCAGTTTAGCACCTGCCTTTGGCTCAGGGCGCGATCCTGGAGACCCGGGATCGAATCCCACGTCGGGCTCCCGGTGCATGGAGCCTGCTTCTCCCTCTATGTCTCTGTCTCTCTCTTCTCTTTCTCTCTCTCTCTCTCTCTCTCTCTATTGTAAATAAATAAAAATTTAAAAATAAATAAATAAATAAATAAATAAATAAATAAATAAAAAGATTTTTGTGTTGTCTACTTTAGCCTATTGGTATGAACACTGGTAAATGGTTCCATGATCTCTGGCAGTTTTCTAAGGTAAACAGATTTATTACTTGTTGTCATATAAGTGATAAAATAACTATCCCAGCAAGACATAAGATTATGGGCTGAGTTCAATGACTGACTTACTTGCATTCTTATTCCAAACCAATTAATTTAGAAAGAGAATATTTCCTCAAAAAAAAAGTGCTCACACAGAGGGTACAAAAGAAATTCAAGTGACCTATTAGTAGCTGCCTTGTGTGAAATCATGAAAAACTGTAACTGGAAAACTTTCCACTATATGTGAATTTGTCAAGAAAGAAATTTTAAAATGCCATGAGTGAAAGTTTGTGTTTTTCTTAAGGATTTTATTTATTCATGAGAGACACAGAACAAGAGGCAGAGACATAGGCAGAGGGAGAAGCAGGCTCCATGCTGCTTCTGGGAGCATGATGCGGGACTCAGAGGGAGCCTGATGCGGGACTCAGTCTCTGGACTCTGGGATCACGACCTGAGCCAAAGGCAGATGCTCAACCACTGAGCAACCCACGCATTCCTACATAAGTGTTCTTTACAAATTTTACTTTTGACAATTTCCATCCTTGTATTTATGGCAAGTGCAACTGAATACTCATTTTAAAACATTTAAGGACTATTGTCGACTGCCCTCTCCAATAGAACTTTCTATGATGATGAAAATATTCTGTATCTGAGCTGTCCAACATGGTAGGTACTAGCAATCTATGGCTACTCAACACTTGAAATGAGGCTAGGGCACCTGAGGAATTGAATTTTAAATTTTATTTAAATGAATTTAAAATTAAATTTAAATAGCCACATAAGGCCAGCAGCTATCAAATCAAACAGAACAGCTCTAAGATATCACACTAACCGAAAACACCATTGAGTATACATGTTTTAAGCAACTGCAGAGAAGGAAGTTGTAAAGACACATAATTTTGCAATTGCTAAACCACAAATAACTTTTTCCCCAAAGATCTGAGAGAGAGAGAGAGACAGAGAGAGAGAGAGAGCAAGTGCATAAGCACGCACATGCATGCAGGGGGTCGGGGAAGCAGAGGAGAGAGGGAGAGAGAATCTCAAGCTGTTTCTCCAATGAGCATGGAGCCCTATGTAGGGATCTATCTCATGATCCTGAAACCATGACCTGAGCCAAAATAAAAGAATTTCTTTTTTTATATTTAATTTTTTTTAATTTTTTTTTAATTTATTTATGATAGTCACAGAGAGAGAGAGGCAGAGACACAGGCGGAGGGAGAAGCAGGCTCCATGCACCGGGAGCCCGACGTGGGATTCGATTCCGGGTCTCCAGGATCGCGCCCTGGGCCAAAGGCAGGCGCCAAACCGCTGCGCCACCCAGGGATCCCGAGATTTAGATTTTTAACATTAGAAATTCTTTTTTTTTTTTTTTTTTTTAATTTTTTTTTATTTATTTATGATAGGTACACAGTGTGAGAGAGAGAGGCAGAGACACAGGCAGAGGGAGAAGCAGGCTCCATGCACCGGGAGCCCGACATGGGATTCGATCCCGGGTCTCCAGGATCGCGCCCTGGGCCAAAGGCAGGCGCCAAACCGCTGCGCCACCCAGGGATCCCGAGATTTAGATTTTTAACATTAGAAATTCTTTTATTTTAGGGATCCCTTGGTGGCGCAGCAGTTTGGCGCCTGCCTTTGGCCCAGGGCGCGATCCTGGAGACCCGGAATCGAATCCCACGTCGGGCTCCCGGTGCATGGAGCCTGCTTCTCCCTCCGCCTGTGTCTCTGCCTCTCTCTCTCTGTATGACTATCGTAAATAAATTTTAAAAAATTAAAAAAATAAAATAAAAATCTAAATCTCAACTCTTAGGGGCTCCTGGGTGGCTCAGTTGGTTAAGCATCTGCTTTGAGCTCTGGTCATGATCTCAGGGTTCTGGGATCTAGTACCAAGTCAGGCTCTCTTCTCAGCAGGGAGCTTGCTTCTCTCTCTCCCTCCACCAGCTACTCCCTTTGCTTGTGCTCTGTGTGTCAAGTAAATAAATAAAATCTTAAAAAAGTCAAAAATAAAATAAAATAAAATAAAATCTTAAAAAAAAGGCAAACTAAAAAAAAAATCAACTCAAGAGAATTGATATTAAATGTTTTGCACTTCTTTGTTTTAGAACTTTTCTTTTTTAAAGATTTTTATTTATTTATGATAGACACACACACACAGAGAGAGAGAGAGAGAGAGAGAGAGAGAGAGAGAGAGGCAGAGACACAGGCAGAGGGAGAAGCAGGCCCCATGCCAGGAGCCCGACACGGGACTGGATCCCTGGGCCAAAGGCAAGCGCGAAACCGCTGAGCCACCCAGGGATCCCCTGTTTTAGAACTTTTTTAATCAAAAAATAATGCTGTTTGGTTATTGTCAATAATAAAGTTCTGTATCTATATATAGCAAAATATCCTCTTATATGCTAAATGGAGGAACATAGGGGGCGATTACATGAAGGTCTATATCCCCCTCCTTTTTTTTTTTTTTAAATTAAGCCACTGACCAGTTGTAACATCTTTCAAAAATGACTGGAACAGGTTTAAGAGATAAGAAGCAGGATTTTATAAAGAGATTATGGAGACCTAAACCTACCATGACCATTTTCCTTTGTTCATACAGCTTCTGTAATTGGTAGGACTTTTCCTCTGCCTTGATGTAACCTTTCTTCACATCATCAACAGCCTATCACCAAAACAAGGGCAGGGAAGAAAGGAACATTAAAGTCATCATCAAGCACATTCTTGATAAATATAAAGAGATACAGATTCATTTTCAGAACAACTCTTAACCATTCGGACCATCATCATCATCACCAGTGAACTCTGCCACAAGGATATATTTTTTGGAATAAGTAGCATTTAAAGAGTGCCTTAAATGTACTCAAGAATTGTTCTAGATACATCAGGGATCTTGTTTCTCCTGTTAAGAGAGTTAAATTCCAGTTAATTTATACAGGTTGAAACAATGAGAGAACACTGAGAAACAGTATATAATTGTTAAAGGCAACAATGAGGTAGCAAAGATATATGGTTTATTTTTTTTTTAATTTTTTTTTATTTATTTACGATAGTCACACAGAGAGAGAGAGAGGGAGTCAGAGACACAGGCAGAGGGAGAAGCAGGCTCCATGCACCGGGAGCCTGACGTGGGATTCGATCCCGGGTCTCCAGGATCGCGCCCTGGGCCAAAGGCAGGCGCCAAACCGCTGCGCCACCCAGGGATCCCAGATATATGGTTTAGATAGTAAATAATACACTCAGTAAGAACAGCAGAGTTTTTTTGCTAATTATATGTATCAGGGAAGCCTTAGTTGGACCCCAAAGGTTAGGCTGAACAGAAGAAACTGCAAACCGAAGTCAGTAAACAGGAATGCAACTGAGCTTATATACACTCAGAAGACAGATCTGCCTGATTTAAATAAAAGGTACGTGTCAGGGGACAACAAAATATAATGCTGAGCGGGTAAATTAACAGATTATGAAGGATCCCAGAAAACAGGCACAGAAATTTAGACTTAAGGATAGCACTAAGGACTACTAGAGGTAAAATAAGCAATAAAAACTTGTGTTATTTTTAAAAGACAGACTGATTTATACATGAGTGCCAAATGAATCAAGCTATAGAGAGAATAAAATAAGGGAGACTGATGATGCTATGGTGCTTTAAGTATGAAGTGTAGGGTGGTAGCAATTGGAAGAGAGTCAATAAATCTGAGATCGCACAAGAACAAAAATCCCCAACAGGACTTGATATAGGCATGAAGGTACCTAGATATAATGTTAATTCTAAACTACTCCTGACTTAGCTACATCCCCTTCCCCACCTCACTCTACCCCAAGAAAAACTTTTGAATTCTAATAGAAGGGAAAACTCCTCTGTAGGAGAGAGAAAAAAGGAAGGGAAAGAATAAATGGAATCATTTGTCCAGGGCATTTCAGAATCCAATCGCAATGATTTACTACAAGGACAACTTTTGCAAGCACTAGGCAGGGGCCACTTGAACTTTTACCAGAAGACTGGTAAGGTAGAAATCATTCCCCATAGCCTTTTTAAGGGAAAATATTTACATAATAGAATAAATTCAGAGTTGAAGTCAAGAAACTAGTTCAACGTTCCAGCTCTATGATCTAGCAAAGTACGCTTCAGTTAGGGTATGTAGCGGGAATGGAGAAGGAAATGGAGCTAGAGTACATCTTTGATAGTGGGAAATTAAGAGATACTGCTTGAATCTGAAAATTCAAGTAGGATCAATATAACCAAGTTATAACAGAGACATGGAAATAAATATAAAACAAACAACAAACAAAAGCTAAGGGAGGTGAAAAATGTTTGCCTAAGCGGAGGGGAGATAAAGATAAGTGGGGTAACTAATACATAATAACCTGTGTAGAACTATTTGATGCTTTAAACTCTATGTATAATTTTGATGAAAAATTTTTAATAGGTACATAGCCATATGCTCATTTCCTGTTATTTAAAAAGTAATAACAAATTAATTTTTTAAAAGATTTTATTTATCTATTCATGAGAGACACAGAGAGACAGAGAGACAGAGAGAGAGAGAGGCAGAGACACAGGTAGAGAGAGAAGCAGGCTCCATGCAGCGAGCCCAATGTGGGACTCGATCTTGGGACTCCAGGATCACACCCTGGGCCGAAGGGAGGCACTCAACCACTGAGCCATTCTAATAAATTTATTCTTAACTCCAGGACATCTTTACTTCTTAAAAACTTATTTATCTTCCATAAATAGGATAGAACATTTTTAATTTTATTTATTTTTTTAAAGATTTTATTTTTGAAAATAAAAATAAAAAATAAAAAAGATTTTATTTTTGGGCACCTGGGTGGCTCAGTTGGTTGAGCATCTGCCTTCGCCTTGGGTCATGATCCCATGATCCTGGGATCGAGTCCCACATCGGGCTCCCTGCTCAACGGGGAGCTTCTCCCTCTGCCTCTCCTCCCCACCTCCATGTACACATGCGTTCTCTCTCTGAAATAAGTAAAATATTTTTTAAAAAAAGATTTTAAGTAATCTCTACACCCAACATGGGGCTCAAATATACAAACCCAACACCAAGAGTTACATATTCTACTGACTGAGCCAACCAGTCGCCCCATGATAGAATATTTTTAAAATGCAACTTAACTATGATCCAGGAGGCAAAGCAGTTTTATCTAAGCATTCACACTGAATTGGCAAATTATTCACTACATATAAACAGAAAAAAGAAATCAAGCCTTTCCAGGAAGATCAATTCACCCACCTGATGAAAAAAGTAGGTAACAGCAAGGTCATTGTCATTTAGGAGGATTTCTTCTTCTGTGGTAAAAAGCCACTTTCGAATGGCCAGGCAGGTGCCTGGCACTGCTGACGTGTAGTTCTGGACGTAGAGTTTATGAGGAAATTCATTAGGTGCCAGCTTACGTACTGAAGGGAAGACATTAAAAAAAAAAAAAGAAAAGAAATAAAAGAATGAAAGAAAGAAAGCTAGAGTGAAAAGATACATAAGGAATTAGCTCAGCACAAGTTGTGTGAGGCAGATCAAGAATGATAGGCTATCCTTAACCAGAACATCAGCTTGGAGTCATCAAGGAGCTCTGCTATGGGACCACAAAATAACTATTTCTCTAGTCAAATATATCCCTTCTAACTATAACTATGGCTAACTGAGCCTCAAAGTGACAGAAATCTATCACCTGTATGACACGCCCTTCAGTTAACATGCTGACTGTGCTGACAGCATCTATTCCAAAGTCAATTAAGATATCTTACCCATTATCTGGTAAATTACAGCAATTTCCACTGAACATCTTTAAAGCAAGCCTCTCCTCTTACCCACCCAGCTATGGTTCATTCAGAGTCTCTCACGTGGCAATTCTCAATGAACTGCTTCTATTGTTAAGAGCCAAAAGGCTCTTCCCATTCCCCACCCCCAACTCTAAGACATTCATCAAAGAGAAAAGTATCTTTCCACTAATGTTTCTTCTTCTTCCTAACGATGCACAAGCAGGATAAAACACTACCACGTTTAATTTCTATGTTACTTCACTTTGGAAAGGCTCAGAGTTTTCTTCTCTTAATGTTTACCTGACTTTGTCACACTGCAAAAAGATTTAGTATTTCCCATTTTATTTCTTAACTAAAGCTTAGAAAAAAAGGATAAGATTAGAATCCAAGTGTCCTGGTTTAGCAATCTTCTGCACATTTCTATCTGCCTAGTTAGACCACAGGGAGTTGGGAAGATGAAGAATAATGAGATGGCTGCTTCAGAGGAAATCGACCTTGTTCTACCCTGACCAGGGATGACAAGATGACCCAAACCTACCAAACTTTCCCCCTTTCTGGATGAGGAAGGTGTGATCAATCAATATTATCTGTTATTTCTGGACTTAGCCCCATATATATATATGATGTGGAAAAGACCCATAAACTATAGGAAATCTATAACAACATTCACAGCAAGCACTCAGACATCCTTCTCTCTTTGTGATCTCAATGCAACCAATGTCACCACTGTTTCTAGTTTTTATAAAATAATATGAGAAACTTCCTGTCACTATGCAATAAAATTTCCTAGAAAAAGAATATCTATTTACATGGAAACTTCAATACATGCATTAAAGCAAAGGCTTTTTCTAACTCCTGAAAATAAAAAGCTATTCTTAATTATCTACAAAAAGCATAAAAGCACACTAAACCAAGTTGTGGCTAAACAAAACATCCCTCTTTTTGGCTATTTCATTGAAATATGTTAATTTTGAAACTCTGATTTTTAAAAAACTATGAAGTATCTGTTTTAGTACTAGGTGTAAGTAAGTTGGACTTATAAAAAAAGAAAAAGGATTGACAGTGATCAGACACCCTTTTGACTTGGGCTTAATAGGATTTGCCTGGTCCACTTGTGGGAGATAGTCCTAATAAGTGGGATCTCCCCTTCTGCAAGCTCTTCTTCTCTAGGCAAATAGTTTCAATCTGGGTGCTTCAGACTGATGTATTAGAATAAAATACCCACAGACAAAACTTAAAATTGGCCGACCAGCACTTACCAAAGGAATGATTGATCACTTCAAATAAAGCAAAGTAATTCACTGTCGTACTGTCCATGCCAACCTCTGCTGCAATAGCCTATTGTATAAACAGGATAGATGCATTTCAGGGTAAATAAATCAGACAATGCTGTGGGAAAAGACAGGTGTGTGCATGTGCAGGGGGGGGGTTGGGGGAGAGGAAGGACTTCTGCCATCTTACTTTCAAATGAACTAAATTCATGACCGATAGCTATTCTTTGTATGTATGTGTACATGTACTCATGCATGCATACATATGAAATAAAAGGGGAAAAAAATACCTGTATTTGACCCAAACAGCTATCATCTCTAAATAGGAGTTTCCCCCTCCAATTCAAACTGATAGTAATCTCTTCTTAAATATCATCTTTCCTCTCTGAAAATTGACTTCATCCCACAAAGGTCTTTTTTAAAGGTCACTTTTAAGTCATCTGCTTGATAAAAACAGATCTTAAGGGATCGCTGGATGGCTCAGCGGTTTAGTGCCTGCCTTCCGTCCAGGGTGTGATCCTGGAGTCTCGGGATGGAGTCCCACATCAGGCTCCCTGCATGGAGCCTGCTTCTCCCTCTGCTTGTGTCTCTGCCTCTCTCTCACTCTGTGTCTCTCATGAATAAATAAATAAATAAAAAAATAAATAAAAAAATAAATAAATAAATAAATAAATAAATAAAATCTTTAAAAAAAATTTTTTTAAGAACAGATCTTAAGAAGAAAATAAATTTTTAAATATCCACTCTCACACATATAGCCTATTTTTAATACAGTCTGTTAACATACAAAGTCTATGTCTTTGGTTCTTGAGTTTAAAATATTTTGTCAGTTTTGTTCATGCTTCACAAATTATACTCATTTATTTTTTGGATGATCCATGCCTCAGGTTAGGGACCTCCATTTCCTAAGAATTATCATCATGAACATCTACATGGAAACAGCAAAATGTTAGGACAACAGAGCATATTAAACAAGTATTAGTCCTTCTTTCTAGGAGCTCATATGACAAAAAGCAATTGAAAGAGACTATGTAAATAAATGAAAACTGAGATTACAAACAACAGCAAAACTCAAAAAACACAAAATAGTACAATTCTTCTTCAAGATCAATTGCAATATACATAAAGTATTAATTGAACAAGATAAAATTGTTAAATATTAGTGTCTCAGTAAATCAAACACAATTATATCCTGCTTCCCAGATCTGCTCACATATCAAACCTAAGTTCATCCCTAATGTGAGGTAGAAACTAGAGATTTTTATAAATATTCTAAGTCATCATTCTACACTGAACAGAAACTGAAATGCTTTCAAGATTTGGAAAATGGCTTAAAACAACAAGTCTCAGGGAAAGGAGAAAAGTGCCAAAAAATTAAGTAATTGGCCTTGCTAGAGAAATACTGGGAGAAAAAAAAGAATACAAAACAAAACATCAGCAACCTATAAAATTAACATTTTCCTTACAATCATCACAGCATTTTTTTAAAAAGATTTTATTTATTTATTCATAGGGACACAGCTAGAGAGAGAGGCAGAGACACAGGCAGAGGGAGAAGCAGGCACCATGCAGAGAGCCCGATGTGGGACTCAATCCCAGGTCTCTAGGATCACGCCCTGGGCTGCAGGCGGTGCTAAACCGCTGCGCCACCGGGGCTGCCCATCATCACAGCATTTTGTAATTTCAGAAATACCTCACATTCTGCATATATCCTTTGCCATGGTATACAGTACAAGAGTAAATGTATGGGGAACAGGGACGCCTGGGTGGCTCAGTGGTTGAGTGTCTGCCTCCAGCTCAGGGCGTGATCCCAGAGTTCTGGGATCAAGTCCCACATCGGGCTCCCTGCAGCGAGCCTGTTTTTCCCTCTGCCTCTGTTTCTGCCTATTTGTGTCTCTCAGGAATAAATAAATAAAATCTTTTAAAAAATGAACGGGTAACATTGTTTGCTACAAAGGAAAAATAAACATTAATATCCAGAAACCTGTTAGTCCCACTGAAAGTCTTAATCAAATCAGATTAAAGATAAATAAAAAGGCCTAAAAGCAAGGATTATATCCAGCACCCAGATTATGACCTTTAAATATAATTTCTCAGAATAGAGAACCCAGAAATGTACCCTCAACACTATGGCCAACTAATCTTCAAAAAAGCAGGAAAGAATAACCAATAGAAAAAAGACAAAAGAAAAAAGACAGTCCTCAACAAATGCTTGTTGGGATTATTGGACAGCACATGCAGAAGAATGAAACTGGACCAATCTCTTACACCATACACAAAGATAAACTCAAAATGGCTGAAAGACTTAAATGTGAGATAGGAATCCACAAAATCCTAGAGGAGAAAACAGGCAGCAACCTCTTTGACCTCTGCTGCAGCAACTTCTTGCTAGATACATCTCCAAAGGCAAGGGAAACAAAAGCAAAAATGAACTATTGGGACTTCATCAAGATAAAAAGCTTTTGCACAGCAAAGAAAACAAGTCGACAAAACCATAAGACAACCGACAGAATGGGAGAAAATATCTCCAAATGTCTTATCAGCTAACAGGCTAGTATACAAAATCTCTAAAGAACTTATCAAACTCAATACCCAAAGAACAAAAAATCCAATCAAGAAATGAGAAGACATGAACAGACATTTCTCCAAAGACATACAAACAACCAACAGACACGTGAAAAAATACTCCACATCACTTGCCATCAGGGAAGTACAAATCAAAACCACAATGAGAAACTGCCTCACACCAGTCAGAATGGCTAAAATTAGCAAGTAAGGAAAGAACAAATGTTGGTGAGGATGCAGAGAAAGGGGATTTCTCTTACACTGCTGGTGGGAATGCAAGTTGGTGGAGCCACTCTGGAAAACAGTATGGAGGTTCCTCAAAAAGTTAAAAATAGAGCTAACCTACAACCCAGCAATTGCACTACTGGGTATTTCCCCCAAAGATACAAATGTAGTGATCTAAAGGAGCACCCCCGAAGATACAAATGTAGTGATCTAAAGGAGCACCTGCACCCCAATGGTTATAGCAGGAATGTCCACAATAGCCAAAGTATAGAAAGAGCTCAGATGTCCACTGACAATGAATGGATAAAAAAGAGGTGGTAGATGGTGCCTGGGTGGCTCAGTTGGTTAGGTGTCTGCCTTGGACTCAGGTCAAGATCCTGGGGTTTTGGGATCAAGTTCTACGTCAGGCTCCCTGCTCAACAGGGAGCCTGCTTCTCCCTCTCCCACCTACTCCACTAGCGCTATCTCTGTCAAATAAATATATACAATCTTTTTTTTTTAATTTTTATTTATTTATGATAGTCACACAGAGAGTGAGAGAGAGAGGCAGAGACACAGGCAGAGGGAGAAGCAGGCTCCATGCACCGGGAGCCCGATGTGGGATTCGATCCTGGGCCTCCAGGATCGCGCCCTGGGCCAAAGGCAGGCGCCAAACCGCTGGGCCACCCAGGGATCCCAAATATATACAATCTTAAAAAAAAAAGTGGTGTCTGTACACACACACACTAGAATATTACTCAGCATCAAACAGGATGAAAACTTACCATTTGCAATGCTGTGGATGGAACTATTATACTAAATTAAATAAGTCAGTCAGAGAAAGACAATTATCATATGATTTCACTCATATGCAGAATTTAAAAAACAAAATAGAGGATCACAGGGGAAGGGAGGGAAAAACAAGACCAAGTCAGAGACGGAGGCAAACCATAAGAGACTCTTCATCATAAGAAACAAACTGAGAGGGGATCCCTGGGTGGCTCAGCGGTTCAGCTCCTGCCTTTGGCCCAGGGCGTGATCCTGGAGACCCGGGATCGAGTCCCACATTGGGCTCCTGGCATGGAGCCTGCTTCTCCCTTTGCCTGTGTCTCTGCCTCTCTCTCTACCTCTCTATGTCTATCATGAATAAATAAATAAAATCTTTAAAAAAAAAAAAAGAAACAAACTGAGTTGCTGGAGGGGAGGGGTACAGGGTTGGGGTAACTGGGTGATGGGCATTAAGTAGGGTGAGCACTGGGTGTTATAAACTATGGATGAAATCGAACACCAATAAAAATTAATTTATTAAAAAAAATAAAATTAAATTAAAAAAAATAAACTATGGATGAATCACTGAACTCTACCTCTGAAACTAATAATACATTATATGTTAATTAACTGCATTTAAATAAAATTAACTTTAAAAAGAAAGAAACTAGGACTCCTTGAGTAAAGTGGCTGGTTCTAGAACTAGGATGGGAAATATACAAAGGTGAGGGCAGAACATCTTGTACGCAGACATGAAGGAGCTTCCACTGGCCAAAAATGGAACAATGTGAGCATCAAAGATAATATATGCAATTGATTAAATCACACAGAATATCTAAAAACCCACAATATTAAAATAATATAAAACAAAACAAAAATAATTATCTCATTGGACATCACTGGAATCAACGAGGACACTAATTCTTTACTCTGAAATTGGCAATAAGAAAATTAAATATTTATCCTCCCTTTCCTACAAGCTGTATTTTTTGATAACTACATAGTCTTAGTTAGTAAGGAAAAGTTCTTTACAGAAGAATTCTACCTAACCAATATGAATAAATGACAGAATTAGACAATCAGTATTTTGCAACCCTTAATGAAATCACTGGTTAAGGCAGCAAACATCAATGATACACTCACCTGATTACAGATAAATGGGGAATTTTACAATCAAGAGTCTATGTTATCACCACCTAAACCCACTGATTAATCTTAGAATCATTAAAAGTGGGATATCTCCTGTTGAGAAGCAATAGGATGTACATATATATCACCAATTATGAAGTAGTCTATTTAAAAAAACTGAATTTGAATCTAATAGAGCCTCTAGAGCAAATTTCCACTTATGCAAAATGTAAGAAGATGGACGTATTAAATGACATAGATAAGAGAAACAGATACATTCAGAATGTGTGACATTGTGCAACACAGACCTAATTTCCACAACAAACCAATAACATGGAAATAAAAAGCTGGGGAAGAGAAGGGAGATTACTTTATATTAAAACAAACATAAAAACCAAGCCTTGTTTAGATCTAGATTTTAACAAATCAACTATAAAAAATCATTTTCAGACAGCTGGGAAAATTTGACAATGGATTAGTTAATGCCAAGGAAATACTGTTAAATCTTTTTTAAAGATTTTATTTATATATTCATGAGAGACAGAGAGAGAGAGAGAGAGAGAGAGTGAGAGAGTGAGAGAGGCAGAGACACAGGCAGAGGGAGAAGCAGGCTCCATGCAGGGAGCCCGACGTGGGACTCGATCCCAGATCTCCAGGATCCCATCCTGGGCTGAAGGCAGCGCTAAACCGCTGAGCCACCCGGGCTACTGTCAGTTTTTTAGGTCTGATCATGACTTTGTGTTTATATAAGAATGTCCTTATTTTTTTAGAGATTTATACTGAAATATACACAGGCCCAATAAAAATGGAATCTGCGTTAAAATATTTAAACAAAGGAAAAGGAAAAAAGAAGATATAATGCAAATGTGGCAAAATCTTGATGATTATTAAATATGAATGATGCAAAAATGGAGGTTCTGTTCTGTTTTCATGTATGTTAAAACTTTTTACAATTAAAATGAGGGCTAATCACAACCACTCTGGCCCAGGATATATACTGTACCTTTCCTTCAAGGAGAGCAAAGTACTTTCACATTAATAATAACATCAGTGATAGTAGCTAACATTTAATAAACTTATTACATGTCATTCTAAGCATTTTGTATGTACTAACTCATGTAATCCATCTTCCGTAGCTTTAAGCCATCTAATGATGAGTCTACTTGTTCAAGTCTAATTTACCTGGTATACTTGGTCTGTAGTACTGTTCTTTTTAACCCTGACCGTAACAGTCGTTCCATCTGGTAGTGCTACTCTCAGCTCTACGTCGGAGACACCATTGTAGTTCTGGGGGAAAAGATAGAGAGACAGAATTTATGAGCCAGCATATCCTCATTCTCCTTGTAACATGCTAGCTAAGCAATAATCTAAACATGTTCCAATGAAAAGGGGGGAAAGAAGACACCTTAAAGTCAATATATTTTATAAATCAAAAAGCTGACGTCAGGCTACAGCAGACGTTGTTAACCTTTAAGAAGAAGAGGGAGGAAAGAAATGTTAAAGCCAATATGTTCTATTATTATTTATTTATTTATTTATTTATTTATTTATTTATTTATTTATTTAAGATTTTATTTATTTATTCATAGACACACAGAGAGAGAGGCAGAGACACAGGCAGAGGGAGAAGCAGGCTCCATGCAGGGATCCTGATGTGGGACTTGATCCCTGGTCTTCAGGATCACACCCCAGGCTGCAGGCGGCACCAAACTGCTGCGCCACTGGGGCTGCCCGTGTTCACATTTTAAAACAGAACACTTGTGTAAAGCAGTTTAGGTCAAACACCCAGGGAGAGATTTTTGACTTACTTCCAAACACTGGGAACTTGCAAATGAGAAAAGGATAGAACTAAAAGCAGTAGTTTTGACAAATATTCTCTGGGTTTAAATGGTTAGGCATGCTAAACTGGTTCAAGTAGTATCCCAAGCTCCTTTCTGAACCCTGAAGTCATCAGGACACCTCTGACAGGAAAAATTGATGAAATGCAGGAAATCTGAGTTAATGTAACGACCAATTTTCTTCCAGGGAAGAGTAAACAAGTCTTATCCCTTAATCCAAAAGATCCTTCTTTCTTATTGCTTTTGATGATTAAAAGATTTTTTTAAAAGATTTTATTTATTTGACGGAGAGAGAGCACAAGCAGGCAGAGAGAGAGAGGGAGAAGCAGACTTCCTGCTGAGTTAGGATCATGATCTGAGCCAAAGGCAGACACTTAAATGACTGAGTCACTCAGGCACCCCCCCAGACTTCTTTTAAGTAAGCTCCATGCCCAGCATAGAGCCCAATTTGGGGCTTGAACTCATGACTCTGAGAACAAGACCTGAGCTGGAAAAAAAAAAAAAAGACCTGAGCTGAGGTCAAGAGTTGGATGCTTAACCAACTGACCCATCCAGGTGCCCTTCTTCTAACGGATTTTTGACCTTCTAAGTTTTATTAGCAAGAAACAACTATTTAAGAGCAAGTCCATCTTCATTTACCACTTAAAATTTTTTTAGCATCTAAAACCTAGATTAGTTGTCCTAAGCATTACTCATTATATACCCTTGTCTGCAAGAAACTTATAATCTAGCTGGGAAAATAAGACATATACATATAAACTAATTAGCAGATTATACATTATTTAATATAGCAGCATTACATATTTATTCTTCTACTTAATAAATATTTATTAAGCACCTACAATATGCTTGTCATTGTGGTAAGGCATTGGGAATATAAAGATGACCAAGATTTAGCTCTTGTTCTTGAGTCTAATGTATAAGAGCACAGTGACCAGAGTTAACAATACTATACTATATACTTGAATTTTGCTAGGAGGGTAGATCTTAAGTGTTCTCACCAGATACAGACAGACAGACAGACAGACACACACACACACACACACACACACACAGAAAAGAAAGAAAACAATAACTATGAGGTAATGGATATGTTCGCTAGATAATTGTGGTGATCTTTCACAATGTATACATATATCATACAATGTATATACATACAACACCAAGTTGTGTGCCTCAAATATAGATGATTTTTTTTAAGATTTTTAATTTATTTATTCATGAGAGACACACACACACACACAGAGAGAGAGAGAGAGAGAGAGGCAGAGGGAGAAGCAGGCTTCATGCAGAGAGCCCGATATGGGACTTGATCCCCTGTCTCCAAGATCACACCCTGGGCTGAAGGCAGCACTAAACCGCTGAGCCACCTAGGCTGCCCAATATAGATGATTCTTATTTGTCAATTCTACCTGAATAAGACTGAAAGAAAAAAAAAAAAAGACTTAGCTCTTATCTATAGGTAATTCACAGTCTAGTGAACTAAAAATATAAAGTGATAATTTGATTAAATGTATAAAATATTAGAGAATGAGAGAGCGACAAAGTGATGATTGAGTAGTCCTGACTATATAAGTTCTTGGTGAAATGGAAAACCAATGACTTGAGTATCAGAGAAGGCTTCAAAGAAAAGGTGAACCTAGCATTGGTCTTGAAAGACAAGCAAGATACAGAAGAAAGGGAAAGTTGAAAAAACAGTCACACGGGGAATTTATGGCAATTCCATCTATAATTGATCTTATTTTCCTGCACATGGAACCAAAGTGTAAACAGTCACTGAAGGGACTTACCTCATCGGATTCTGATAGGAATTCCTGCATGATGTCACTCTCACCAATGACTCGTATTGAGCACACTGTAGAAAATAAAAATAGAATCTGGCATGAGGCCCTAAAATCAAGACTTTAAAGTCAAGAACATATCAAGGTTTAAGTGTAAATCATTAGTAGCAGGCAATGCAGAGGTGGTATGCCATTCCTGACATGACATGTTAAGGCACAACAAATATTCTTATAAATATGAACTAGAAGAGGGGAATAAGAGGATGTTTAAAGATGAAGCTTCCTAAAAATATTTTTTTAAAGATTTATTTATTTACTTATGATAGACACACAGAGAGAGAGAGAGGCAGAGACACAGGCAGAGGGAGAAGCAGGCTCCATGCCGGGAGCCCGACGCGGGACTCGATCCTGAGACTCCAGGATCGCGCCCTGGGCCAAAGGCAGATGCCAAACCACCGAGCCACCCAGGGATCCCCAAGCTTCCTAAAAATATTAAACATAGCCAAAGGAAGTCACCCCCAAAAAACGACGTTAGAGTAAATCTAACTTTGTGATCTCATGTTAAGAACAAATCAGACAATAGAGCAAGGGTAAGGTCAATTAGGAATAAAGCAGGGACGCCTGGCTTAGCAGTTAGCAGTTTAGCGCCCTGCCTTCAGCCCAGGGCGTGATCCCGGAGTCCTGGGATCGAATCCCACATCGGGCTCCCTGGATGGAGCCTGCTTCTCCCTCTGCCTGTGTCTCTGCCTCTCTCTCTCTGTGGTCTCTCATGAATAAATAAAATATCTAAAATAAAGTAATAAAGCAAACACAAAACTAAAATACAAAAGGAAAAATGTCTACTTGGCTTAGGAACCGGGACAGTCAGAGAACCATAAGCAGTTAAAACTACTTTGGAAAAAAAATGGATGGGTAATTAAGCACTAAGCTCAGCACATCTTCTCACCTCACTAACTTAAGCTTCAAAACAACAGGAAGGAAGGAAGGAAGGAAGAAAACAGGAAGGAAGGAAGGTAAGTGGGTAATTGTTTAAATTTAAGAAAATTAATTTCCTGACACTCTCATGTGGATATTGAGTTATAGTGATGATTTTACTTCATTTTATTTAAAAATTTATATCCTTTTTCATTTCTCAAGGGCTATGTTTAGAGGCCATCCCATGTTAGAAGAAAGCTAAAAAACAGATAAAGTCTTACTACTTCCTACAGGGGAAATAGTTTTTCTTCAGGGATAAGGCTCTCTACTAAAGTTTAAAAAAAAATTCAGGGGCACCTGGGTGGCTCAGTCAGTTGAGCATCTTTGGCTCAGGTCCCCAGGACAGAGTCCCACATTGGGCTCCCTGCTCAGCAGGGAGTCTCCTTCTCCCTCTCCCCTCCCCCCACTCATGCTCCCTCTTTCCCAAATAAATAAATAAAATCTTTTAAAAAAAATTCAACTAGGTCAATTAGTTCTTATACAAGGACATAATAAATATCACAAAGGACCATTATTCTATTAAATTAGTATTTTAAAGAAAAGCCTACTGCACAGATGACAAATTATATAACTCTGTAATATAGCGAAGCAAGATCTCTTCTCTAAGCCACAAAATGGCCTATCTTATTCTGGAAATCTGGGTCATTTCTCCTTGCCTTTCAGATAAGCAAATGTTTCAGCATCCACATTCCAGACCTCTGATGTACTATCTGGAAGTCCTAAGATAACAAGTGAGTTTTAATACTTCAACCTATAACCTGCTTATATCAATGGGACCTTAGGTTACTTACAACTTGGCACCTATAGGAGGAAAAATGAGTTTTCAAGTAGGATAGGCTAGTGAACTGAGAATCATTTTAATAAAAATGTTTTAAATACTGCCCAATTAGTTTCCATCAATTTAGCATGTTGATGAGTCTGTATGTGTCTGCTGGCAAATAATATAACCCTATAAATAATTAGGTCCCTAATGCACCAAAAACTACACATTTTTCTGTTGTTGTTAAGTGCTCAACAAGTCAGTGAAACAGGCTATTAATCCTTGTACTGGGCATTTCAGTCTTGGCTTCAAAGCTCAGATCATTCAACACTGATGGTCAGATATGTGATTGGCTTTCACTACTGAGTTTCAGGAAATTTAGCAATGAAGTTTAGTAGTTGTAACACATACCTAGACTCTATGTCTATTTAAAATAGTAGAGTTTAATAGCCAGCTTACCTTTTTCTAGATATTCCTCCAACCCCCGACGTCGGGCATCTAGTTGCTGTTCTGATAAAGAAAATGGCCACTTCCCTGGAAGTCGGGGAAATGTAAAGTTGGCAAACTCTCTCTTCAGGTTCTGATGTAGGATGGCAAACTCCCGGTACCGCTTAGAACACAGCTGCCTCCCTGCCATATAAACATTGTATACCTGGTGAGGGGAAAGAACAAAAAAAAAAAAAAAGAAAAAGAAAAGAAAAGAAAAAAAAAAGCCTACTTACTACAAATTAAATCACAGAATCATCTAAAATAAAACACAGACCGGTAACTGGTGAGGTATATTCTGCTATGCACTTAACAGACAATGTGTTCAAGGTCATTGTAAAATAAGGCTAACTTTTAATTAACATGCCAGAAATGATATATGTACAAAAGAGTGCTACTCCTTTCAAGTGGCCCATAATCTTATTTTTGCTATTAAAATCACCTCCGATACATTGTTTTAAATATCTTTTTTTTTTTTTTAATTTTTTTTTTAATTTTTATTTATTTATGATAGTCACAGAGAGAGAGAAGCAGAGACACAGGCAGAGGGAGAAGCAGGCTCCATGCACCAGGAGCCCGATGTGGGATTCGATCCGGAGTCTCCAGGATCCCGCCCTGGGCCAAAGGCAGGCGCCAAACCGCTGCGCCACCCAGGGATCCCTGTTTTAAATATCTTCAAAGGCAATTATCAGCTTTTAAGGGTGGACTTTTATTAGTGAGGACGTACTATAAAGCAATGTGACTGATACTTGTATGTAGCCCAAACATCCAGAGGAAGGTCTAAAAATGATCTAAGTAACAGTAGTATTTTGTTAGCAAAGTGTCTTTGTTGCAAAAACTCCTTTCCTGGGATCCCTGGGTGGTGCAGCAGTTTAGCACCTGCCTTTGGCCCAGGGCGCGATCCTGGAGACCCGGGATCGAATCCCACGTTGAGCTCCCTGCATGGAGCCTGCTTCTCCCTCTGCCTATGTCTCTGCCTCTCTCTCTCTCTCTCTCTCTCTATCATGAATAAATAAATAAAATCTTAAAAAAAAAACTCCTTTCCTGAAGTCAGATATCTTTAGTATTGTTCTTCCTTCCATCATTAAAACAGGGTTAACAAAAAGTTGAAGAATAAATGTATTATAAGGACCACCTTGTAATTACAAAGAATTAATAATCCTCATGAAAAAATGGTTAGAGATTTTTGTCTATTGTTCATAGATACATGCCAAGCTTCCAGAACAGGGTGTGGAACATAGCAGACACTCAGGAAATATTGGATGAAGAAATAAACGGATATACGTGAGATTCTTGAATATGTACCCTCATAAAGGAAAGTGAGAGAACGTGCAATCCAAAAACATCTAATAATTCCTCTGTATTCTTAGAACATAACAAATGAGGCAGAGATGGAAAAACTGGCCCCGAATCATATTTACTGGTTTTGCAAAAGTCATTCCAAATTTCAAATGTGCAAAAAACAGATCATCTACTCATGGAATCAAGAGTTAATCACCGAGAATGCATAGGCCAAAGCCTTTCCTTCAAAGCTCAAGAAGTTATCTTTCCCATGCTTCTATGATTTAGGAAGCATGAATTAAATGCAAACATAAAATAATTTATTCATTCAAGACTCCTCTCCCCTAATACCCCACCTATGATTCCTTCCTCAATTAAAAGCGGAGCCTCTAATCACTATGTAACAGTCTCCAGAGAGGAGTATGATCCTGACCAATGAGCTTTCTTCCTGTGATTATCACTCAAAGTTGTAATTGTCATGGATCACCTATATTATGAAGCATTCCAATCACTGCCTCCTGAAGTACAAATGCATAAAATGAAGAAGAGCACTCCCCTTAGAACAATACCACAGTTCTCTTCAGGGCCGGAAGTCTTAGAAAGTCTTATTCAGTCAACCTGATCTTGTATACTTCTTTCTCAAACTGAGCTATCCAAATTTCTCAATAACAGCGTCATTCCTTTGCTTAAAAAGAAGTCTATAACACTAAGGGTGATATATATCAGCCTGAGTTCCTCATACTAGGAAGGAAGGGAGGGAGGTAAAACTAGTTAATGACACTTCGGTTCAAAGATATTCTTCAATGTCTTTTTCCAAAGAAGAGTAGAGTTAAGTCTTTGATAATGCACATGAAGACTATGACTGCATTTCTTCAAAGGTGATCACATGATTGATCTCAAGTCCAGTAAAACATTTCCTTAGGGCAAAAAGAACCCTATGGCCTGAGAGGCCTTTGTGATAATTTCAACAAGAAACCTGAAAAGTTGATTCAACTTTCAACTTCTTATAAATTGAGAAGAGTAACATCAAATAGACTTTCACTTAAGTCCTCACCACTCTCAATTTAAATGTGGCATCAAAGGGTACAGAAATATAAATAGTATGCCCTGATAGTCTTTTTTTTTTTTTTTTAAGATTTACTTATTTATTTGACACAGAGAGAAAGAGCACATAGAGGGAGAGCAGACTCCCCAGTGAGCATGGAGCTCAATTGGGGCTTGATCCCAGGACCTCAAGATCATGACCCGAGCCAAAGGCAGATGCCCAACCGACTGAGCCACCCAGGCATCTGACAATTCTGTAGTACTTTGATGTAAATAGGAATGGCTTCCACAGGAGCCAAACCATTTTAAATTAACTGTGCTTAGCAAATGAAAAACATACTAAAATAGGTACCAACAGAGACTGCATTGTTCTTCACTGGTCCTTAAAATTAACCAAGATCTATTAGTATTCCTATTTCCCTGGTTTAGACACACTCATTTGCCAAAAAAAAAAAAAAAAAAAAAAAAAGACTGATTCACTTAACGCATTCTGGGATCTTTCCACTTGCATTTTTTTAAAAAAAGATTTTATTTATTTATTCGTGAGAGACACAGAGAGGCAGAGACACAGGCAGAGGGAGAAGCAAGCTCCCCACAGGGAGCCTGATGTGGGACTCCAGCCCAGGACCCCAGGATTACGATCTGAGCCAAAGACAGATGCTCAACCACTGAGTCACCTGGGTGCTTCCACCTTAATTTAAACCCTAAGACTGGCTGGCTTATAAATGGAATAGATGAAGTTAGTCTAGCTTGTGACAGTACACTGAATTTAATGATCACTGGTCACTTTCTGATCTGACTATATCCTATAAGACTTCAAAAGTTGGGAAGTTCACACTACAATGCCAGCTGTCTGAAGTAACAAATTTCTTTTTTTTTTTTTTTGTTTCATACTAGTTTGTTTAGGGGTGCCATTTTCACTGCTAATAGATTTTATGTATTTCTCATATGCTTCTTCACTCATTAATTCAGCCAATTCTTAAAGATTACTGAGTATTGGGATCCCTGGGTGGCGCAGCAGTTTGGCGCCTGCCTTTGGCCCAGGGCGGGATCCTGGAGACCCGGGATCGAGTCCCACGTCGGGCTCCCGATGCATGGAGCCTGCTTCTCCCTCTGCCTGTGTCTCTGCCTCTCTGTCTCTGTGACTATCATAAATTAAAATAAAAATAAAAATTAAAAAAAAAAGATTACTGAGTATTATCTTGACCACCCAATCATCTTCATAAAAGGGTATGTTGACAAGTACTGGGTTTTCTGCAAGAGTTTCATTAATTTCAGTTGCTTCTCCTGATAGAGAATAGAGTTCACTAGCAGTTTCCACACTTTCCAAAGCACCACACCAAACTCATCTGTTCAATTTTGTCCCAACTTCAGGTTAAGACTACATTAAACAACATCTATCAGAGTTTTCTGTGCAAAACTGCTGAATCTCACCCTTCCAATACCATTATCTGTTGCTACCCATTCATGTTTGTCTGTGAATATACACATGGAGAGCAGAGTAGAACCTGTGCAGAGTCCAGACAGCAGCTGCCCTCAGGCTCCTGGGGAGGGCAGGCAGGACGTGGTGAGCTGGGAGGCAGCCCACAAGCTGCCCAGCATGCTCAGCACCGCTCCTAGTGCCATCAACAAGTTTCAGTCCTCTTGAGTTCCTCTTTGCTTAGTAAGAACCCAAAAGGAAAATGGCATGACGTATAGATGGGGAAAGTGTAAAACTCATCTATCAGTGGTCTAATCTTGTTTCTCTGGATTCTGCAAGTCTAAGATTCAAAATTCATGGGATGCCTCAGTGGCTTAGCTGTTAAGTGTCAGCCTTCGACTCAGGGCGTGATCCTGGAGTACTGGGATAGAGTCCCACATCGGGCTCCCTGCATGGAGCCTGCTTCTCCCTCTGCCTATGTTTCTGCCTCTCTTTCTGTGTCTCTTATGAATAAATAAATAAATAATTTTTTAAAAATTCAGCTTCAAAATAATTTCTAATATCTAAATGCTGAAAATTCATGCCATGCTGTTTCTCTCTCTAGCCTCATGATTTAATTCTATGTGATGAATGCCAGAAGATGGTAACTGATACATTCTTTTCTTTCTCTTTTTCTTAAATAGGCTTCATGCCCAATGTGGGGCTTGAATTCACAACCTTGAGATCAAGTCTCGTGCTCTACTGAGCCAGCCAGGAGCCCTGTAACTGATAAAATCTTACAATGAGCACAACCCTAGTAACAGGGAAAGCAATTCTAGTAATATCTGGATTCTATTCCTCTGCATTCAGTAGGAAAACCAAAATCCCAGATATCAGAGATCTTCATTTTGTTAGTTCCTTAACCCCCACCTATAGATTTCTTAAGGCTTTTAAATGATAATGCCTCATCCTATATAGGTTCTGATATTCAAAAAGTTCTTATTTTCTCAAATCTCTAGTAACTGACAGGAATTGTGCTACTGAACACAAAAAGAGAATCCCCTTATATAATGCAAAAGTTATTAGGGGAAAAAAATAGCATGACGACATTTTGGCCATGGCAATACCACCACTCAGGTTCAGCTTCCAAAAGTAAAATATAAGCTGTCCTGGTTCCTACTATTGATCTGGATGAATCTTCAATGTACATTATGACCAACAAATTGTTTCCAACACCACCCTGCCATTTAATCTTATTTTTAGCTGAAAATTCATCTTTAAAAAGACTACATTATTTGCCATTCACAAGCTGCTTATTAAGCAAAAGGAAATACAGTACTCTTAGTTGATTTCTGGGTAAATCAGGGGAGATTTCTTAACTCAGTGATTTTTCCCAAAGGCTCCTTCTTGGAAATAAAAAAGCATAAAGGCCACAATATGCT